CCTTTTCCAACTCATCTCCATCATGTGACAACTAATAGATATTTGAAAGTTATTATTTTTTTATTCCACTAAGTGACAACTACGAGAGATGATTCGTCAACTCATTTCATTAATATGTAGACTTTGTACAAAAATCTAGAGATTGATTATGTAGTATATGTCCAAAAAGAACTTTTGAGGTCATAAACAACACATGATAATTTTTCTAAACATAATAATTCTAACGATTATTACCTTAAAGTTAGAACTCAACCTTTCTTATTTTAAACTTAATTTATATTTAATTAATAATATTTTATGTGATTTTTAATTATGAAAACCTTCTTAATTTAATTATCGTTCTTCTACCTTTTACATATTTTAATTTGATTAATTAAATCATCTATAATCGTTTATATAAGAATTGCCAAACATAACTCTTTTTTTATTTGAACCACGTTTTTTGGGACTTGATGTCATCTTGATGTCATCTTGATGTCTGCACCCAATTTTTAATGAATTTTTAAATATATTTTCTTTTCATCATTTAGTCTAAAAATCATAAAAAATGATATTTTTTGAAAAAAATAAAATATTATCATATATTATCTTAGATCCCTATGATCGACTTGTAAACTTTTTCACTATTTTTGATACCTTTTATCGAATTATAATTGATTTATTATTATATAATACTTTTTAAAAGTAAAAAATTAATATTATCTAGTTTTAGAAATTTAAAATTTATGTGATTTATTATATAATAATTAAGTCACATCAGTACACATGTCTTCTTCCACCACTTCTAGACAATTGTCACTCACCTTTAGACTCATACTAACTCTAATACCAATTTCTAATGACTCTAAGATGGAAGATTTAATGGGAGAAAAGGAGTGATGACAAGATGAGAACTCAAGATTAGATAACAGGGTAAAACCCTAAGGTTTGAAAGAGTTTGAGAGACCCTCACTCTCCCATGGCTAACCCTAAATTGTCAAGAGACCCGTTCTCTCCCCTCACATATCCATTTTTGTACATTAAACTTCATGATGGTGTGTTAAATTACTAGTCCACTTTCTATGACTGGGCATATTTCTTTTTGAGGACATATGCTAGGCCCAGTGGCCAATCAATCTACTAGTACTAGGCTAACATTTCATCCTTGAAGCTCATTCGTGTTGTCCTCATTTGTTCCTTTTATATCACGTGGCGTATTGTGAAGAAAAAATCTTCCATGTAGATCAATTGCTTTTGATTACTTTATCCAAACATTTGATAATTCTAGTCATCTACTTCTTCTTGAATAATATGTATGCCCATCAAGTGCCCATTGTATCATATAGTTGGAGTATATTTTCTTTCTTATTCTATAACTTAATATGGTTGCACTCATATATTTTCTCACGAAACTTCTTATCTTTTTTGGTTTGTTCTCCCATTCAAATTGTCTTCTTTTTGAAGTCTTTGACTTCTTGGTGGTGTAGTGAACGTTACATCAACACAATGCTTACTTCATTGACACCATCACACTTGACTCAGATAGATTAATAAGGTCTTGATATGAAATAATCATAAAAAAATGTAGAACACGAGGAGAAAGAGAAAAAAATATTGAAATGGAAGATACAAGAAATATAAAATAAAGTTTGAGGGTCTATCAAATCTCTAAAACCTAGAGTGGTTGTTCATGAGAACGACAACTCTCCTTCAAATTTCCTCCAAATACTTATTGCCCTAAACCACTATCCTGATCACAACTCTATTACCTTTTCTTTTAATTGAAAAATATCTAACAATCCCTCACTAAGACTTCAAGAGTGGGTCCCTTTTCTCCATCTAGAAGTATGTTAACCCCACTCGGGGCCCCTTATAATCATTCTCTTCTTTGTTTTTCTTTACTTTTCTTCCTTACTAGTGACTTTTTTAGTAGTTTTTTGGGAAAAATATTTTGTCATTTTTGTTTCATTTTAATATATTGTTAATAAGATTTCTTCAATTTCTTCTTTGTGGCTTTTATTCCTAGAGAAAAACACCCCTGAAATGAGATTGGCCTAGGTTCCTTGATTGATCTTCTCTTACTATTTATGTTGTTATACCTTGTCCATGATGAGAACATTTGGCATGAGCCTCAACAAAGTAGCTGCACATTGAGCCTATTGACTTAGGTTATTTTTGGCAAAAATTAATGTACAGTAACGTTAATTTGAGGCCTTGATTTTAACTCTACTTCATTTCTAATAATCTCTCCAACCTTTGTATGATGTCCATTTTTGGGAAGATAAGATTGACATTCCATACCTCTATTCATCTCCCCATCTAGTTGAGCTTGGGTTGACTTTCAGATTCTTTGATAAATCATGCCTTTTTCTGATTTTATGAAGTTTGTTGAGATGAGATATTGACATTTCTCCAGTGGTTTCTAAGGATTCATTCTAAAATGAGAGCAAGGCGGGAGATCTTTGAATTATTCTATGATATGTACAAACTTCGAACCAACAAAAATCTTCTTATGGTCGTCACATCTAACCTTATTTCAATAAAATATGTCATATTTTTTCCTAGGTTACATCATTCATGGGTGGAGTCAATCAATTGGGTAAGCCCGGAGCCTACCCACGAAATGGCCATAGAGCTTGTTTTTTTCTGGTCTTGGCATCAAAATCAGGCCAAAAAGTAGTAGGGCCTCCCTGGTTTGGACTTCAATATCCTGGGCTAGGATGCATTTAGCATCTTTACTCTTTCTATCCTCGTGCTAGCTTTTCTTCTTCTGCCCTCTCTCTCTCTCTCTCTCTCTCTCTCTCTCTCTCCCCACCCCCACCACCCTCCTTTAGAGACAAGTCTAGTCTAGAGCGGGTCGCACTGGGTCGAAGGTTTTCTACGGAATTGGTCCGGCTTTCATTTTACTCACGTTGAGAGCTCCCCCTTTGAGAAATCGACAATTTTGGGGTCAGAGGGAAAGGCTGTGGGTCTGAATGGACTGATTCCGCCGGCTCTGTCTGCACAAAAGTATGATCGACTTTGTGTCCTATTTGCTCTCGAGTAAGATTTTATGGGCTTTTGGGTTATTTTCCTCCACTTTCTCTCCCCACAAATTTAAAATTTCTATGTTTTACTAAATTTATGGCCCTTTATTGAATCCAAACCCTTTAATTCACACCCACAACTTTCCTCTACAGTCACAGGTCGGCAGTGAGAGAGAGATAGAGAGAGAGAAAGAGAGATAGAGAGAGAGAGAGAGAGAGAGAGAGAGAGAGAGAGAGAGAGAGAGAGAGATGAGAGAGGGGGAGAGAGAGAGGTGTCTTTAATTTGGCATCAAACGATCATCTGGGAATTTATGTGGTTTAGAAAATTGATGGTGGGCCCAGTGTTCGGCCGGGCCCAGCAGCTCCGGATAACAACGACGATGGGAGCTGGTGAGCCGCTGGGCTCTCCCATCAATCAATCGCAATGTCGCGACCCGTTGCTTTCCTCGTTCCAATTGGCCGGTCCGGTCAATTACTGCCACGTCCATAGACCCGGTTCATCTGGGCCGGTCGGACCGGCCCAGAAATAGACCGGGTCTGATAAGATCTTTTTTCTCTCCCTTCTTATCCACTCCTCTCCCCCGGTCCGTCCGTCCACCTGTTGGACCTCCCCTCCCTCCGTGGACCACTCATCGTTGGAAGATTACGCGTCTCCGTGACCGTTTGATCGATTCCAGCGGACGGTCCCCGAGACGCCAGCGGCAAAGTGCGATATTTATGGCTTCCGTTCGACGCGCTATGTTTATCTACGTATACGCGTCAGAGAGAGAGTGAGACAGAGATTCGTGGTCGGTTGTCTTGAGCGGGATCCTAATTGGGAGGACAGCTGGGGCCGCTCCTACTGTTTGATGACGTGTAGCACCAACATCATGCCACGTCGCGAACTGGTGACCACAAGATCTCGCTCTGGTTTCTTGCAGCCAGGGCCGTAGGATGCCGTGGAGTTGGCTCTTATTTTTGGAGGGGAGATAAAAGTGGCCTCTGGGGCCCGTGGAGTGGGCCCCATCAGTTGACGATCGTGCGGTCGGCGTTGCACCTGACACGTGGCGAGACCTTTTGGCGCCGCCTATTTAGTATCCTCCCTTCGGAAAAGGGCCTGTGCCTTTTTCTTCGCCTCCACAGAATCCTCCTTCCTCCTCCCCAGATATTTCGTTCCTCCCTCATCCGCTTGCTTCTTCCCCTTGATTCCTTCCGGCCGCCGCCCTCTTCTTTCACCTGTGGATCGGCGATCGAGGAGGATTTCTCGTCTTCTGGCGCTGCAGATCTGCTGATAGTTGGGGGGTTTTCGAGGTTTGATTCAGATTTTTTGTGCGGCCATGGACGTGTCGGTCGTGGGGAGGCAGGCAGGTGTGGCGGGGTCGGAGCGGCTGATGCTCCCGGCTCAGAGTCGGCATCTGGTCGTGGGGAGACAGAGGAAGAGGGCCACCGTCTTGCCGGTTTCCCGGCTGCCTAGCCGGATCGGTCTCGGCGCGGTGGCGTGGGGAGGTGTGAGGAGCCGAAGGATTGCGATTGGTGTCCGCGCGGCGGTTCGATCAGAGGCGGTGAAGAAGTTGGCAGGGAGGAGGGAGTCCACGCGGAAATCAGTGGTATGTTGCTCACCTCGATGATAATTCTTGAAAGGAGTTTTGCTTCCACTCGAGTTCCCTCCCTCCCGACGCTTTTTGATTTCATGACTTTTGGATAATTCACCAAGAATAGATATCATTTGGATCTCATGATTTTTTGTATAATTTCATACAAGAAGAGTGATGTATGATTTTTTTTTATTTTGTCGTCGTTTCAAATATCTGATGATATTTTTTTATTTTTTATTTTTGTCGTGGTTGCCAGGCCGATCGCCCTCAGCTGTTCGTGGGGCTTCCTGCCGACGCGGTCTCCGACTGCAACACCGTAAACCATTCGAAGGCCATCGCCGCCGGGCTCAAGGCTCTCAAGCTTCTCGGCGTTGATGGTGTGGAACTCCCCGTCTGGTGGGGTATCGTGGAGAAGGAAGCCATGGGGAAGTACGACTGGTCTGGCTACTTGGCTCTCGTCCAGATGATCCAAGACTCGGGGCTATTGGTCCGGGCCTCGCTCTACACTCATGCTTCCACGGATCCCGCGATTCCTCTCCCACAGTGGGTCTCCACCGTCGGCGAGGCAGACCCCAGCGTCTTCTTCACCGACAGAGCCGGCAACCTTCACAGAGAGTGCCTCTCCCTTTCTGCGGACGATCTCCCAGTACTCGAGGGAAAGACTCCGTTGGAAGTTTACCGGGCGCTGCTTCAGAGTTTCAGAGATACTTTCTCAAGCTTCCTGGGCTCCACCATCACGGTAATGGCGACCACTGATTCTGCTCCGTTCGTCTTCTAAATCCGCTGCCGGCGAGCTCGAGCAACAGGAACTAACGATTAATCTCCCTCCCTTGGGATGTCCTCCTCTCTCAGGATGTTCTGGTCGGCCTGGGTCCCGACGGCGAGCTCAAGTACCCATCCATGCCGGCGTCACGAAATCGCAACGCCACCGGAGCTGGAGAGTTTCAGTGCTACGACAAGAACATGCTGGGCCACCTCAAGCTCCATGCCGAGGCCACCGGGAACCACTTCTGGGGCCTCTCCGGCCCCCACGACGCCCCCTCATACAACCAGTCGCCGGACTCCGGCACCTTCTTTAAGGACGCCGGCGGGTCCTGGGAGACCCCCTACGGGGACTTCTTCCTCTCTTGGTACTCCGGCCACCTCCTCGCCCACGGAGATCGCGTCCTCTCCATGGCCTCCGCCGTGCTCGGCGACCTCCCGGTGCAGATCCACGGGAAGCTCCCCGTGATGCACGCCTGGTCCAAGTCCCGCTCCCACCCCACGGAGCTAGCCGCCGGACTCTACAACACGGTTAACAGGGACGGCTACGACGCCATCGCTGACATGTTCGCCAGAAACTCCTGCGGGATGATCCTCCCGTCCATGGACCTCGCCGACGAGCTCCAGCCAGCGGCCCTGCGCGCCAGCCCCGAGTCCCTGCTGTCCCAGATCATGAGGGCCTGCAACAAGCACGGCGTCGCCGTCACTGGCGAGAACTCTTCCGTCCGCGGCCCCCCTGAGGGCTTCGTCAAGATCAGGGATACTCTCTCCAGGGGGAGGAGGGCCTCCTCCCCGGAGGAGCCCGTCATCGCCAAGTTCACCTACCAGAGGATGGGCGCCTACTTCTTCTCGCCGGAGCATTTCCCGGCGTTCACCCAGTTCGTCCGCAGCCTCGAGTGGTCTGAGCTCCACTCCGACGACCTTCCCGCCGCCGGCGGCGAGACGATCCCCTTGACGGCGGCGCCATCTCCCAAGGAGATCACTACCAGGCAGATGCAAACGGCATAAATTCCCCTCCCTCCTTTTCTTCTTCTTCTCCCTCTCTCTGCCCGCAAATTTCCTGATGTAAATAACGTGGTCATGTAATCTCCGTGATTAGCTCAGTAGACCTGCCCGGACGAGGAATATAAGCCAATCGTTACCCTTGATGTTGTCCGTGGGTCACCTGGGGTATTTGTCGAAAATAAATGGGCCCATTATAGGGTCTGGCTTGCCTTGTTGGGCTGCATGCCATCGACCCATTATTCAGATTTTTATTGGGTTGCACATCATTTGGCCCAATAATGATAACGGTAAGAGTTAATGGTCAGCCCATAAATAACGGCCCCGGCCCAATGAGTGCGTTTTAAAACAGGCGGAAAGTAGGAAGGTTGTTGGCAGGCCCGGCCGGCCTTTCTTGTCTGCTTTTGAAATATCGGCCGAAGTGCGGTCACCTGTCGGTGTTGCTATGAATAAATGACCGCACAACCAGCAATGGTGATGGAGTCTCGCATTCAGATCGGCGAAAGTCGCGATCGCCTTCTACGACGCACGTGAATGGTCGATACTAACGAGGCGTCGAACAGGAACGTAGATACATATATGACTTAAATACCCCTATTCATTTAATTAAATGGCTCGTTATTTTGTGGCCAACCTAACTTATCGGTGTAGAGGGTACTTTAGTCATTTAGTGTGAATTCCCGCCCCCTGGTTGTGCGCTCATGGCGGCCACCGCTGGTGTTGCTCTGGCGACCTCAACGAGGGAGCCATGGAAGGTATAAAATGGACCACTAGGGTACTTGCCGATCTCCGTCTGTCGCCTCTTCCCACGGTCTGCTACTTCTGTTCTCCTCCTTTTAGATCTCTTTTTCTCTTTCTGCTTCGTTGAGCTCTGTGGGGAGGGGCGATCATGGCTTCCTTGGCGGCGACGTCGGTCTTCCTCCCTGGCCGTACCCGATCCGTCTCCCTGCACGGCCAGGTTTGAGTTCTTCTTCTTCCTTGCCCATCTTCTTGTTGTAGACCTTGTTTATTGTGCTTGATCTCTAGTTTTCTGAAATTTTCTTGCTCTTTTCTGGCTATCGACCTGTATTACCGTTTGTGTTGTTGTCTCCTGGAAAGGTGTGTGTGCTGCGACTTTGTGATATGATAGCGGATTTATACTTTTTTTTTTTTCCTTTTACGCTTGAATCCGTTTTATCATTTGATACTATCACTGCCCATTGATGATCCTGATCGGCAAGTAAAGCTTGGATATCAATAAAGCGTGCTCGTCACTGTGCATGTGTATATATATATATATATATATATATATCTTTCTCTGCTTGACTTTTAAATATAAATGTGTACTTTATATTTATTATTATTCTGTAAAAAAATTGTATTTTTAGCAACATGAAAAGGTGCTATCCATACAGATTGTATTATGTTTTCATTTTATTTCTACTAAAGAGAATCATGACAATGAAGATTTGATTTCTACAGTGGAAACTTCTGTTAAGAATGCTAACTTCAATTCTGACAATTAAAACATGATCATACGTTCCATTTAAGTCATCATATGAATGCATCCAGATGCTTAGATATTGTAATATCATGCTGTATTTATGATAACATTTTAACTCTTTAAGACTTCTCAGGTTTGTCCTAAAATTTTGATTTTATTTTCTGAATAGAAATGTTATTTTAAAATCGTTTTTCATCTGACGGATTTTGAATAAACACAATCTTTTGACATTCTTGTGGGGTAAATATTGTGTTCTTGATATTGATTTAAATCTTAACAGTAGTATGATCAAGAGATGGTTTGGCTACGGAAGTACCGCTTTACGTTTGTTGATTTAATTTGAATTCATGTTTAGAACACCAGCATCTGTCATGGATTGGCTTCCGATATGGTTCGTGCTTGACTAAAAAATGAATCATGAACTAACACTTTACAATAGTATGATCAAGGCTTCTGAAGGAAGAGGTTTAAATCGAGTCCCTGAAAAATAGTATGAACTATTGGTGGTCCAGTTTTAAAAGACCATTTTATATTAAACTTTTATGCCAGATGTGGCTTCATACTCTGGTGCGATTAAGAACACTGTTCATCTGTAATTCGAACAGGTAGACGGAAAACCTTTTTGTTCCCCAAACTCATATGTCATCTTAATTCTTATTTGAGCTGGCTAGAAAACATGAAACCTTCAAATTTTTTCTTCAAGTCCTGTGAAGACAGAGAAAGACCTCAGAACAGGAGATACCTTTGTTCACTCTTTCTTTTGACTCTCCACCACCCACTTCCCCACCCTCCCCTGTTTTCATCGCCACTGTTTCCCCTCCCTTGTCTTGCTTCGATAATATTTGGTCCCCTTTGATAACTTAATGGTGAGGGAATTTAACACTGCTAGGCAGACACGAAACCTGGGGAAAGGAAACCCAGATGCTAAACTTGGTCTCAATTTGGAAAGATCTCTGTCTGATGTGTAAATGCCTACAAAATTTTACGTGGGAGCACTCAAGATGAAAGGATTAGACATCCAATTTCTTTCCTCAGGCTTCAGCATCATCACTGGGCGTTTTTTCTTACCCAATCCCTAAGATTACTTTGAATAGCAATCCCCTGATCTTGGTTTTTTTCTCCCCACGACAGACGGATCCGTGGCATCTTGCTTTCATCGCTGAATTTTTCTCGTGTGATCATGGCAGGGTATGGCGGGTGCTTCTCAGATCAGATTGGCTTCATTCACGCACCAGAGGAGAAGCACCTTCTTCCCAGGGCAAGCTTCTGCACCACGTTTCCGAATCTCCTGTCAGGTGTGATTCCCTCGACTTTCTCCCGGGGTTTTGCAGACCGGCTGGTGCATAGATTTTGGAGGCCAAGCCACGTTTTTTTTCTATTTTTATGCATCAAAAGCAACTCTGGAAATTAAAATAAGCCCTTCCTCGTCCTGATTTAGTAGCCCAGAACCCTAAATGCTAGACAGCTTTATCTCGTCCACCTCAACTATCTCTTCTTCCCTTGTCAATATGAAGATAAAAAAAAATATTGACCAAAGAGCATGATCTGGTTTTCATGGGTTCATAATAATTCATCAGTGCTTAGATTTTGGAAGCCAAGAACATGATCTTATAATTTATATGGTCTCACAATCCACTGCTACTACGAGATTAGTGGATCTGCTTCCTAGTTTTTTGCCATAACAGGATAGTAGTAGTGACCACTTGCCCTCCTCGCCTGCCCTTCTATTACATGTCCAGGCCAAGCCAGAGACAGTAGAGAAGGTCTGCGCCATTGTGAAGAAGCAGCTGGCGCTCGCAAGTGAGGTCGTCGTCACCGGGGAGTCCGAGTTCACCAAGCTGGGAGCTGACTCCCTCGACACGGTAGAAACCCCCCACCTCCCCTCCCTCTTCATCCCTCCGCCGAACCGAGTCATCCTCGCCATTGATTTCCTCATCTACGGCCGGGAACTGCTGCAGGTCGAGATTGTGATGGGCCTTGAGGAGGAGTTTGGGATCAACGTGGAAGAGGACAACGCACAGAGAATCACCACCGTCCAGGAAGCGGCCGATATGATCGAGAAGCTTGTCTCCAAGGGCTCGGCATGAGGAGAGGCCTCTTCCTCTTTGCTTTGGTATGTGGTTGGTCTCATGAAACCATAAATCTCCTCTTTTTTATTTTTCTTCAAAGAAAAAGACTTGTGATTTGGTGAAGAACTTGGGGTGAATTAGATGTTGGGTCGATGATATCTTTTTTTAATTAGGTTAATTAATTGATAATCAAGAAAATGGAGATGTTCGTTAGAACACCAGCCCCCCACTTACAAACTGGCTCTATTTTTTTATTCTTTTATTCTTTTTTATTTTCAGGGGAAAAAAAATGGTGGATCCTGTGGACTCCCTAACTGGGGGTTAAATGTCCCACGAAACCCTAGTTTTCTTTCCTGTTAAAAAGTTTGTGGTCTAGTGGATGTATGTGGGAACTTGGTGTTTGTTGGTTTTCTATAAGTCAACGCTTAGCAGTCAACTCCATTCTTTGTAGCATGTTGTTGTAGTCAACTAGTGTTGGTGGGGTAAATGGGCTCAGCCGTAAAGAATGATGGGTATTGTTTTTGCTTGAAATATGGATTCAATGAAGTTCTGATATCGTGAAACAACCATCTAAATGCTTGCTGCGTTGACTCTTTTTGGAATGGTCATACGGGTTCCGTGATGAACGGGCGGCAAGAGATAGAGAGAGAAAGAGAGAGAGAGAGAGGCAGATTTCTAATTTATTGGCCGGTTGAGGCTATTAGTGGGATAGCATCATTTTCCCTCTTATTAATTATACAATCTTCTTCTTCAGGTCCTAAAAGGTTAAGAAAAAAAAAAAAACAAGGTTTGATAGATTGTTAAGTCTTAAAGCGAAAATTTTGACAAATGCCAAGTCTAAAAGGGAAATACGGTTTAAATCCTTATTTTTTCCCCATTCAGTGGGCAACACGGGTTAATGATTTTCAGATTTGTATACTAAACACAGTATATATATATATATATATATATAGAGAGAGAGAGAGAGAGAGAGAGGAAGGGAGAGAGAGATAGAGAGATGGAGAGATAGAGAGAGGGAGAGAGAGCTGAATGCTCTAAAAAGTAAATCATTAACAAAATGGCTCCAATTTTTTATTGGACACATCCTCGGGTTGACTTCGGTGCTCTAATAATCTGATTTTTCAGACAGAAAAAACTTTAAGAAAAATTAAGAAATTCTGTTTGAAAAACATGCTTTCATCCCATTAAAATTATTTTATTGACCTTGACGAACGATTTCAGGAGGCGGCGCACAGAACTCCAATTCCTACCGGCGGTGAGGGTATCCTCGATTCCTTCTTATTGGGAGACTACAGCTAGAAAGTTCTAGAGGAAGAGCTAGGTAGCTTCATCTGAACAGCGGGAGTGGTGGTAGCCGGAGGGGAGTAGGTGGGATCGAGCATACTCGCTGGTGAACGCTCTCGCGTCGTTCAGTCCGAAGGGGTCATCTGAGGTGAGAATTCTGCTGATCGGCTTCCTTTCTAGGTTTCTTCTGTGGTGTTGGTCGTCTCCTGTGGGATTCCGTACGGGTGGGAGTTTTGGTGGATTTTGCGCGGTCGATTGTCCTAAACTGGATTCCCATCCAGGCCGTGTCACTTTGTAGTGTGAGATAGTATGTTTGAGGTTCGTAGTTCCGATCGTAGTTTCGTGTTTCTCTCTTTAGCTTTTCTTCTTTCGTCTTTGTCTGGCGACTGTGGTAGGGATTATCTAGGAGTGGTACAGAAGAATTCCCCGTGGTGCTGTAGGACCAGGAACGGCGTCTATTTTACGGAGATCATCTCGGATTTCGTTACCTTTTCTCCGGGTCGCAGGACCTTTCTGTGCTTCAGCTTTCCTACTGGAAATGTTAATCAGCTTCTAGTATCATCGCTTCTTCTCCAGAGCCATTATTGGATCACATTTCACGAGCTGGCCTCCTAAAGGAGCAGATAGTGCCTCTGGCACGTTTCTTCTCTGGCACTGGTAAAATTCCTTTGATATTGGCACTGCGAGTTCCTCCCTTTCCTGTATCGCTCACTTGTATGAATATGTTTTGATCGTTCTTTTAGGACCTACTACAGTCACGGGAACTCTCCATGGACTGAAGCCTGGGCTTCATGGGTTCCATGTCCATGCTCTTGGAGATACTACCAATGGCTGCCTGTCCACAGGTATCATGCTCCTCATCAATGTCTCTTCGTTGCTGGCACCCTTTCGTTAATTGAATCTTTTTAGGATAGAATATTAAGAATTTTGTTCTCTTCTATGATTATGTTTTACTCATGATTGCCCCGCCCGCTGGGTAGGACCTCACTTCAACCCTGCTGGAAAGGAACATGGTGCTCCAGAGGATGAGGTTCGTCATGCTGGTGACCTTGGGAATGTGACTGTCGGTAGAGATGGTATTTTTCTCCCTTGTCCCTAGTGATTCGAACATCACCTTAATTTTTTACAGTAATTTTAGGTGAATAGTCATTTTTTTAAAAGTATTATTCCTTGCCTTAATTCCATATAAAAAGTTTAATCCCTGTCATTGTTCCTTTGCCATCTTTTTCAGGGACTGCTGATTTCACAATTGTTGACTGTCAGGTGATGCATATTTCTAGTTTCTTCTGGGTTCCTTTTTTAATAAATTACACTGTTATGAAATGTTTATATCTGATATGGTTAAATATTTTTTGCACATCAAAAGCTAACTTGACGCCATTTTTTTTGTATTTTTTTAAGATTCCCCTGACTGGACCAAACTCTATCGTTGGAAGGGCTGTTGTCGTCCATGCTGATCCTGATGATCTTGGGAAGGGTAATATCACGCTCCTTTTTTTTAATACTCTGATGTCAAAGAAAACACGCCTCTAATGCCATGCTTTTCTGGTCCTAAATCTCCTTTTTTTAGCCAGTTTAGCATAAGAAGTTCGTGCAAACTCTCTTGGGTTGATGGATCTGATGCTCCTCTTATCTAAATATCTGAAATAATTGAAACGCAATCACTGAATGGGCCTTCTTTATGACGGGCTGTTGTTAGGAACATTGTTCTAATGCCTACACTCTTACATCAAATGAAGCCCAGCTTGGATGAGAATGTGTTCTAACAATATTTATCCCCTTTATGGTGCCCAGTTTATTCAAATATTTGGAAAAGACTGAATTGGCCGTCTTTATATCTGGTTTTGTTGGTTGTGCTCCAATCACCTCCCTTCTTTTTCTCATCCTCCATCTCATCATCGACACAAACGTTGAGTGCTCCTCTGTGTTTATTTTTATTTTTGGCGGAAAGTAGCTTCCTTCTCATTCTCATATTCATCTGACCATAAACCTGCTCACCATTAGGCTAACTAATCTTGGACCTGCTCTTTAATGATCATTGAAGATAATGGTGGTGTATTTCACCTCTCTCTCTCTCTCTCTAGAGGAAACTTGTGGGTGTGGATTAAAGAAGCTTCTTACGCATTGTCATATTCATCTGGTCATAAACCTGCTCAGTATTGGACTAACTAATCTTGGACCTGTTCTTTAATGATGATTAAAGATAATAATGGTGGATTTCACATCTCTCTCTCTCTCTCTCTCTCTCTCTCTCTCGCTCTAGAGGAAGCTTGTGGGTGTGCATTAAAGAAGCTTCTTACGTGTTGTCATATTCATCTGACTATAAGCCTGCTCACTATTGGACTGACTAATCTTGGACCTGCTCTTTAATGATCATTAAAGATAATATTGGTGTATTTCTTATTCATTCTCTCTCTCTCTCTCTCTCTTGCCGCCAACTCTCACACTTTGCGGGCTCCTCTGTTCTGTATTCTTTCTTATCTTGGGAGGAAAGAAATTTCCTTCTCATTATCGTCTTCATCTGATAATGACGGATTTCACATTATTTTTCTATTTTTTTCTCTGTTAGGTGGACACGAGCTCAGCAAATCCACCGGAAATGCTGGAGGCAGGCTTGCCTGCGGTAAGTTAGATTTTTTATTTTTTCTTTTCCCTTGGTTTCAATCCAATTAGCTGCATTAATCCTCATAACTCGAGGTGTTTCAATTGTTCTCGGCTCCAGGTGTCATTGGGCTTCAGGCATAGCTGGCTTCTGGAAGCTTCTCATGGTAATCCTGTGGTTCATCCACAGATCACTTATCGTATCCCAGATATTTTGAATAAAGTCACTGTGAACTACCGAAAAATGCTGTTTTCTCTTCGTTTGGTAACTTCATGTTCTGGATTCATCAAGCTTACTTTTTCTTCTTGTTGCAATTAGTCATATATTTATATACCTGGAGAGATGGAGAGAGAGAGAGAGAGAGAGATGACATCATCATTCTTTTATACTGGACGATTACTGAATTATTACATCATTAATGTGAGATTGGAAGATTATATGCACAATAGTTTATGCTAGTAGTAGGGTTGACTCTGAATAGCAGACTCTAGTTGAAGATCAGCTTCTTTCGAGGCAATTGTCAACTGTCTCTAGACCAAAAGTCCCCTAATGCTGACTTTGAAATACCAAACTATCATTGATCTTTTGAAGCCACACTCATGACATTGGCATCTAACATTTTAACTTAGGATTAATGATCTGATTAGTGGCACTACCAACGGTTAGTGGGCTCACAGTTTGGTGTCATAAAATCTATTTAATCTTCAGAAAAATTAATGATTTATAGGTTTGTTGCCACGTGTTTAGAAGAACAGAAATATACTATGCTTTAATAATTAGGGTCGGTAATCAAGTAATTTTTTTGAAAAAATATTGTCAATCGAGAAATGATAATGTAAAGGTTAATTAATATTACGACATCATAGTAGCTGCTTTTGAATAAATTCAGAAAATGTGGCTTAATATTCATTCATCATTTGTAGAGTTAGATTTATATATTTTTGAAATAAAATTAAAGGAAAAAAATAGGAGTTGCCCAAAAGGTGCTGTTGGGGACCCTTTTTTTCTATTCCAAAATATCTTGATCCCTAGTATCATGAACCAAGCTTCAAGCATTATTTTATACTTTTTTTTCTACAATTATAACAAAATATATTATTATTTTAGCATTTTCACAAAAGGATATAACATATTTTCAAAATATATATGCATTAAATAAAGGTACCAAGATAAAAAAAATATTTTACATTATTTGCTTCGGATTCGAGCCCTCGAGAAGGATTCAAGATTATATAGTTTTTTATGCTAACAAGATCAGTACAACGCATAATACGTGCTCGAGAGCAAGGAAATGCGAGTTATCACCTTATCATGGGCCGTCGGGATCAACGTACCGCACGACATAGTATTTATTGCACTCTATATTAAATTTAATTACATATATATCCATTTATTTTCTACGCCTCTGAGAGGTTCGGGCGACCTTATTTTTGGGCCGACCAGGATTTTGACCCGGGTCGTATTGAATGTCAGGCCAGCCCACGTACTGATGAAACCGGGCCAAGAAATGGGCTTGGGCTTCTCAATCCGAGGATCGTTCAAAGCCCATGTTTTCTTCATATCTGTGTTCAGGGCTTTTCCATACAAAGCGATACGTACAGGGCAGAAGAACTTTCGTTGCACCGCACCGGCCTCTCGGCTTTCACGTCGCTCTCTCTTTCTCTCTCTACAGTCCATTTTGCCGCGCTTTTAACTCCAATTCATTCCGTCGTCCTCATCACTCTGCTTTCTCCTCCTGGCTGTTCTCGGCGTTGGTCGCGAAGGAGACAACGAGTAAGCCTCCTCTCCGCTGCGCTTTTCGCCTTGTCCAATCACGAGGATCTCTGGAGATCTTAACAGTGAAGCATTGGTTCTTTCGCGTTTGCCTGTGCTTGGAGGTAATGGATAATGTTGCTAGTAACTCCAAGCGTCGGATTGCTTGTTTTATCTTCGAGGAATGTTCATATCTAGGAGACAGAGAATCTATTGCTCAAATTCCTCACTCATTGTTTTATGGTTCGTTTTTTTACTTACTTCGTTTGATCGCCATTCGCGCCTGTGTTGATGCAGTGATAGATTCGGTTCGGAATTTAGCTTTCTTTATCACTCTTGAGCGCTCGTTCTATTATCATCTTTTGCATTCTCGGTTCGGAGTTTAGCTGACTGCAGTTTTGATATCTAGAAATGTGCAGTTGATTTCCGCCCTCTTATCCTATTTATTTTTGATAAAGTAAGTTCGTCGTTTCTCAATATTTGTTTCAGAAGCCACTGGAGTTGCATTTTGAATCTTAACTAACATACGGCATTCAAAAGAGATTATGTCGAGTTAATTTAATATGCTTGGTGGTCCTCTTTTCGTTAACCTCCTTGATGGCCACATTAAACCTTTAGTTAACGAGTTTGTGAAATTTATAAGTTCAGCTGGATTAAATTGGAGAAGACTGAACGCAGCTTCAACTGTAACGGCCTTTTGGGGATGAAAAAGAGAGAGATCTGATCATTTCTATGCAGATGACTACTAAGTCATAAAACTAAAGGGAAAGAAAATAGGCATGCCAAGTTTCTGTATGCCAACTTGATGTCGAAACCAGTACCTGTAGAATATCCAACTGATATAGAATTAATAAATCCTCGCCTTATATTTATATGTCCCCTTTTCATTTGCATAGTGTTGTCGATTGAATATTTTTCTTTCCCTGAATGAATAATACGAAATGAACCCCGTGTTAATGAAGGAAATTTAATTGTCAATTTTTTTTTATAGTGGAAAATAGACATAAGTGCTACACATCAGGGATGTCGAATGGGGCTCAGTACTTGCAACATAGCTCATTTCATCAGGTAAATTTCAGATTCTGTGACAATCCTTCCTCAATTCTGCGATTGTGACAAATGAAATAGAGAGATAGCCTTGCCTGGAAATAGGAATTGGAAGGTTTCGAGAATCAGGTCACCTGAGTTTGACTCGACAAGATTAGGCCAAAATCTCTAAAAAATTATTGAATTTTTTGACCGGTAAATGTGTTGTCCTTTAATCTGTACACCAATTGACTTAATTGATTAGGATATTGAAGATACATGATTGGATGACATAATGGCAGTGACTGTTCGCACAACCTGAGCCCGTGTAGAGCTTCTGAAAGATATTTGTTAGGTGGTAGCTTTTTTAGTCTAATGTGGTTATATCCAATGAGTGGATGGCTCCTTTATCAAAGCTTCATCTTTTCTAGTAGTTAGAATTGCGTGAATACTTGTATTCGCTTGCTTGGATATCTGTGTGACCATCATTAGTGGTTAATTTTTGCTGCGCAGGTGGATGATAACATATAAAATTGTGTTTATTGGGACGGTCAAGGGATGCCAATATTGTTTCATGTTCGACTTGTAGAGTTTGAGAAACTTTTTTTGATAACAAGCTTCAATGGAGTGCAACAGGGAGGAGGCTATTCGAGCCAAACACATTGCTGAAAAAAATATGCAATTTGGAGACTTTACTAGAGCAAAGAATATTGCCCTGAAATCCCAGAAACTTTCTCCTGATATTGAGAACATATCGCAGATGCTTACTGTCTGCGAAGTGCTGTGCACTGCAGAAGCAAAATTGAATGGGCATCACGACTGGTATGGGATCCTTCAAGTAGATCCTACAGTAGATGAATCCGTGATAAAGAAACAGTATAGGAAGCTTGCTCTCCTGCTTCATCCCGACAAGAACAAGTTTTTTGGGGCAGAAGCTGCCTTCAAGCTTGTTGGGGATGCCCATAGGATGCTTTCAGATCGGGCTAAACGTTCTATTTATGACATGAAGAGGAAGATGACCCTCCCGACTGCTGGAGAGAAACAACCACCTCGGAAATCGAAGAAATATTCGAATCCTATGAAGCAAGCTGCAGTTTCTAACGTTCATCAAAATTCTGCCTCCGTACCACTGAAAGAGCAAAAAAGAGATACAGCATGTGCCGCTCAGATAACAACATTCTCGAATCATTGTGGACTCCAACGGAACAGTGATACTCAAGGTCAGGGTACCAGTGTCATCAGTCCACAAATCAAGAGTGGGAACTACTTCTCATGTACAGATTCCCAAGGGGCATCCAATAGAAGACCCGTAACACCACAATCTAGCACACAAGTGGGAGTTAGCAGTGTTGTTGATGAGGGGTCTGGAGACAAAGTGAAAGAAAGCGGTCAGATGGAGAGTGAAATTAGAGATGAAGATGAAGCGCAGTGCAAGGAGGTGAAACTTGAGAAAGTTTGCGAGAGGAATCCTGTTGTGCCATCATCAGCAAGTCCCCGCTTGAAATGGCGGATAAACATGTTACTCGAGATGAGTGACAGTGACAGTACTGACTGCGATGCTGCAGTTAGTGGAGAAATGAGGCATGACTCTGTAGGGAGTCAAGGAATGACTGGCTGCTGCTATTCACAACGATCTACACAGCAGAAGCATAACGTATCGCATGCTGAGGGCACAAATACTGATGATAACTTCAAGAACCGCATTCAATTGAAAAACTTGACTAAGAAGTCGCACAATGATGATCAGATTAATAACCCATCTTCCAAAAATGGCTTGGAATTTCCTACCAGCACCTCAAGAGGCAAGTTCAAAAGCATTAAGAGAGTTGCCATCCCCCTTGAAGAGGATCTGCCAACTGGAGATACAGTCAGAAGAAAACGCAGGAAAGGATCTGGATGCTTAAAAGTGACACATGAGGTTGGTTCAATTCCTCACCCTGCTGCAGTCCAACTCGGCCCAGCCACTTCCTTGTCCTACCCTGACCTAGAATTTTATGACTTTGGAAAGGACAGGAACCCAAGCTGTTTTGCTGTTCATCAGATCTGGGCGCTCTACGATGATTTAGATGGCATGCCTAGACGTTACGCCAGAATCTCGAGTGTTTCTTCAACAGGTTTTAAGGTGCGCTTCACCTGGTTAGAGTACGACCCACTGAGCCTGACCGAAATAGGCTGGTCAGCCAAGGAGCTCCCTGTAGGATGCGGGAATTTCATACTTGGGAGAAGAGAAAACAAAGTGGATATCAATATGTTCTCTCACATAATGCCATTGACTAAAGGGTCAAAAAGGAATTCTTATCGGATACTCCCTAAAAAGGGTGAGGTTTGGGCTCTTTTCAAAGGCTGGACTATCGAGTGGAGCGCCAATCCAGATCAACACCGACAGTACAAGTACGAATTCGTAGAGGTCCTTTGTGATTTTGCTGTTGGTGAGGGCGTCAACGTTGCTTTTCTGGCCAGGGTCAAAGGATTTTTCAGCCTATTTTGTCGAGGACATGGTGGAGTCGATACACGTCACATACCATCGAGTGAGGCACTTCGATTCTCACACAAGATTCCTTCATATAGAACAACAGGGAAAGAAACGGAGGGCATCCCACAAGGATTTTATGAGCTCGATCGTCCTTCTCTTCCCAGAAACGTCGAAGAAACCTTTCCTACTGTGAATCTCGATGAAGCTAGAGAGTACGTCTTCAAGAACAGGAATTCTGCTATCAAATCGGAAAATAATGGCATTTTCACGAGTATGGAAGTGCGAAATGTGATGATTGGAGCGGAGAAAGCCCTTGAAGGCGATAGCCATTCTCCTGTTGAGCTGAATGGCTCCGGCGAGAAGAAACACAGTTGCCATTCAGGGACGACTTTCTGCGGAAAAGGCCCTTTGGAGGAAGCCCAAGTCAACGTGTTCCCTTATTGCGGCGGTAGTCCGGCTGGAAATGGTAAAAGCCCTGCCTCAAAATCTTCACGCCCCAAGGTGGTTGAATATCATGATTCAGAATTTTACAACTTTGAGTTAGAAAGATCCAAGGGAAAGCTGAAAACTGGTCAGATATGGGCAGTTTTCTATGAGACTGATGGCTTCCCGAAATACTATGCCTTGATCAGAGGCGTTGACCTTGAAGATTTTAAGGTACGTGTGACGTGGCTAGAAGCTTGTCAACTCTCGGAAGAGGAGAGGAGATGGTCGGATAATAGCCTCCCCATTGCTTGTGGAAGGTTTAAGCTTTGTTCGGGAAGAGAAGGCAATGAAGAATACGATACTGCTGGCGTGTTCTCTCATCTGGTTTGGCCGTCACGTGTCGAGAGCAGTCAACTGTACGACATCTATCCGCAGGTTAACGAGGTGTGGGCTCTGTACAAGAACTGGAACCCTTCGTGGAGGACACCAGACATTGAGAGATGCTTCAAGAAGGGTGAGTACGAGGTGGTGGAGGTCCTCTCCAGCCATGCCTCAGTGATGATGGTAGTTCCACTGGACAAGGTCAGCGGCTTTAGATCTGTGTTTAAGCCCAGAAGAAACAATAAATTTTCAGAAAACATTGAGATACCCTGTAATGAGTTCTTGAGATTCTCGCATCAGATCCCATCTTTCCGGTTGACCGAGGAAAGGGGTGGCAGGTTGAGGGGCTGCTGGGAACTTGATCCTGCATCAATGCCTGATGGCTTCCTCTCGAAGGGTTGACTCCACTGTAAGTTGACCCTGCTCTTGTGATTTTTTTTCCTAGTTACGGATTTTTGCTGCTGGAACTTGATCCTTCTCTTTTTCTTTGTATCCGGCCGTTGACTTTTTGGCTGTTAAGTCAGCGTGTGTGCTGGTATTCATTCTGACGACGAGCTTCTGGAGATTTTGAATCAGCCAAGGGGTCCCTTCATCCTGATTGTCTAATCATTGTTTTCAGAGCAAAAACATGGGTTCTCAAGGGGCTCCTCCAACTTTCACAGTGAGAGAGACGTCTCTCGTCTGAAGCAACGACTCTCGGGGATTTCTTCCAGACTTCCTGTGTTAGTCAACTCCTATTTTTCACTGTATATATAGAAAGTCAAAGCTGCTTATTTCCTCAAATAGTTTCTATTGCCCATTCTTCCTAGCAACTGTTTACCAAATGAGTTAGTATAATAACCTACAGAAACTAACACGAATAGGACGTGGGTTCTTTCTCATCCTTCTGCCCAAGTTGCCACTTTTGGTGCCCTCGACTTCCCTAACGTATGGCTTGCACGTCTAGAGCCCTTCTTCCCTCGCCATCCATATGGTAGTATCTCTCTCTCTCTCTCTCTCTCTCTCTCTCTCTCTCTCTCTCTCTCGCTACATAAATACATATCTATGTCTCTCAAACTTGGATAGGTGTAAGCTATGCTAGGGCTTCGTCGAGGGAGAGAGACAGAGATAGATAGGGACAGAGAGAGAAAGGGTGGGAGGCAGGAGAGAGAGAGAGAGAAAGAGAGGAGTATTAGTAGTCGCACTAGCAGCACCAGAACCTCGGGGAGAAAGGCTCTATCTATCACCTTTAACAATGAACTTGGGTCCATTGTGAGCTGTGGGCTGGGCCTGTCTGACTGTTGGGCCGATCGGCTACATTTCTTTTCGGCCCTTGCTTGAATCTTGTACAGTGTGGGAACTACGGAATGGAAGATCTCACCCTCCTCTGTCGAAGCCCAGTCAGAGCAGGAGGTTTCCTCTTTCTCGTTCTCTCCAACTACCCGGCCCCCACCCTGTCCATTGATCTGCTGCTGCCCCACGTCTTCCTCGTGAGGGAGGGTCTCCACTGAGGAGGGGAGACCATGAAGTTCTTGGGCTGGTACCTGAAGATCTTTGCCGTCTCGGCACTCTGCGGCGCTTCCATGGAGCTGTTCATGATCCACACGGGCTTCTGTGTGAGAGCTCTCCTCATCTTCTCCTCTTTTCTTCTCCTCTTATGTCTTGGGGTTCGCTCGCCACACTTTCATCCTCTGCTCGTCAGATTTCTAGATTTGTACCGGATTCTACCGCAAAAAACTTTTCTCCCCTCTTCAGCAGCAACCTCTGGTTGGATTTTCTGATTCATTTTGGGGGTTTCTTCGTATGGTTTCCGAGAATGATTTTCTGTGGCGAAACACCAGTTTTCTTGCTTCCGCATGCATCTGTTAGACGAAATATTTGTATTCATTAAACCTGCGTTTGGATGCTCCTTGCAGTCAACGCGCAGAAATCATAACGGATGAAAACTTGCTGCATGCGTTTATTCAATCAGAATCGCCTTGGGTTTTGGATTGGACAGCACTAATACTCTCACCTCTGGTTATATCCTTCGCTTTCTGATACGCCATGGACGGCTATTTTTAGGAGATGGATGGAATGAAACTCGACACTGAGATCATTCGTCTCTAGGGTTTGTCTCCAACCTCTAGGGATAACAGCTAGGAAAACCACCTGACAGTTTGGATTGGAGCCTCATAGTTTGAAGGTCCAGTGACCATATTTTCCAGTGAAGAAATTTAAACCGTCAAGTCTCAGATGCTCGAGCCCTTTCTGGAGGGAGCCAATGAGGGTTCGTTTAACATTCTTCACTTCTTTGTAGTCTTTTCCTCTATTTTTTTCAATTTTTTTCCACAAAAAATAAAAATCAGGGGCTTTCCCTTTCCTTCCATCATTTTATATGGTGCAACACTTTGAGAGTTCTTCTTTTGTGATATTCCCCTTTTGACCTTCCCCCCTATTGTGGGCTCTAATGTTGCAACTTTAATTCTTATAATTTATTTATTTTTGACTGACCTGACCCTTTGTGAGGCATAGGATTTTTATTTTCACACAAGATAATCTGGTATTAACCCAAATACTTGCCTTCTATTTTTGAAAAAATCTGCTAGATTAAGTTTCCTATGTTCTATCAGTGATGGGTTCTTTTTTATTTGTCTCATTGGCATGATTTGACCTGACATCTTGATGCAGCAAAAATGTTGACTTTTTCTTATGATGATTTGAGTGAGTTGGTACAGCCTAAGTTGCATTAAGTTGAAATTTCCTTGCCCTGAATCCACATAACGTAAAGATTCATCCCTCGAGTCTACAAGGGGTTGATCTTGAATCCACATAATCAAAAATGGCTCCTTGAGTCTATAGAGATGATAGAATCCACTAGTAGAGATAGAGAACCTCTAGAGAGGAAAGGAATTCGAAAATAGATTATTAAAAATGAGATTATATAGGTCAAAAATTTAGTTACAAACAAATCTAAAAAATAAAATAAAATAAAAGGTAAAACTGTTATGATCTTAAAAAAAGAGAAAAAATTAACTAATTACGGAGATCAAAAACGGGAATTGAGATTTAGGCACATTTAAAATGTCATAAAATCTCTTATTGTGCTATTTAAGGCTGAATTTGTGTCAAATCGAGTCTTCATGCCTCTTGAGCTTCTGATTCATTTTAATTAGACTGAAATTAGGTTACATCATTTGTTCTATCTGAGTTGATCTTAAAACAAGATTGATTGTATTACTGTTGATGATGAAATTAAATTGTGAGACATTATTATGGTTCAAAATATTTATTTTTGATCACCTGGGTCAACAACTTTTCATCCTTCAACTGGACCATATTTGATCTCTAATTCTAAAATGTTACGAAGAAAACTTTAATTTATTTATGTAATCAATAAACTTTGTTGGGTCCTTTTCGGGTGCTTGCTCTATGTAATTAATTTTAAAATAATATATAAATTTATTTTTTGTGATAATGTCTCATTGCTCGTGGTTGACTTCCTTTGAATGATTAGACGACAAGGTGACCGTACTGGAGGCCGAGAAACGAGCTTGGGAGGGTTCCCCAGAAGCGCAAGCTGCTCGAGAGGCTCTCAATCCTTGGAGGCATCGTGACTTTGAGACCAAAGAACCCTGAAATGGTGATGAACTCGGTGGGTCGTGTCCATTCAATCCTGTTCTAGTCCGAGGAGCAGACGTGGAATGCAATGATGATGATGTGGCACAACCCGAGGGGCAGCTTTGGAATTTTTGGGTTTTTAAGGAATTTAGTTCATATAAAATTCTGGTTATTTGTGAAGTCATATTATGAGAACATAATCACATATTAAGATTAGATATAAACCAATAAGAAGCAATTAAAGAAGATATCATCTAATTTGGATTTATAATTATACGTTGGAAATCATGTGTATGGTCTACGGTAACATCATTGATTTCAGGGAATGGTTGGAGAAGAATGGATTTTTTTTCCCAAAACGTTGTCTCTCCTCTTAGTAAATATATCATTTTTTTTTCTTGGAGTCTAATATTGGCCAGGATTGACTTTCTCCGAACCCGGTTGACTTTCTTCGTAAAATTGGAGTAAAGAGTAGGAAAAAAGCGCCGAGATCGCCGCCGGGAAAACATCTGTTGTGACGTGAAATAAATATCTGTCCGAATAAATAGTTAATGCGATGCTTGATCGTTTTTATTTTGGCCGATTTAGTCTCGGCCCTCAAAGCCGCGGGCTTTGACCTGTCAGGTTTGGTTCTGGGTTTACAGGGCAAGGGGTTCTGGTCTGCCCTCCCCGGCTTGGCTTTGCCCATTTCGACCCAGCCTGTGAGCAGGTCTTCCCTGGGCCGCAAAAGCCCCTACCTATTCTAGAAGCAGTGGCGGAACAGCCCGCCTGCACCGGCGGCGGTCGCTCCACCGGCAGCACGCCTCAAGCTCCCTGGTATCCCCACTCTCTCTCTCTCTCTGACTCTCGGCGTCTTCCACCGTCCCGCTGTCGCCCGTCCCCGTGGCAGCGAACCGGTTGGTTTCTCCCGTCACATCCCCCGCGTCGTTATCTCTGTGTGCAGTCGTCGGAGGCGTCTTGCTGGCTTCCACCCTTCTCTTACTCACATGACCTATGTTCGATCATTGATGGGTAGAATATTGTCTTATAACTGTGATATTTTTGCATCAATGATAACTTCTTTCCGGCTGAATCTCTTCCCATGATTTAAATGGGGCATATAACGTGGTTCCCTACTAAGTTTCTTCACTGATGCGGACAAGACGAGTGAAGCTCTCAGTCTGTGCAATGACAGCATTTGCTCGTGGCCATGAGCGTGAGTAGGTTGAAGTTGTTTTAGAGTGTCGGAAAAGATAGATAATCCCAGGTTTTCGGGAAGGTGAAGCGCAGAAGAATCTACTCTTGTTATTTTGTCGATTGGGTGCATTTAATCGTAAGATCAACCCATGATCATCTGGAAAAAACCCTTATCTATGTACTCGGCCGACTCTTATATCAATTAATCTTGCAATGAATCCTGATCCAGATGTGCATTTTTTTTATTTCTTGGTTACTGCGGAGTTTGGTGTTTAGTTTTCCGATGGTTTTTTTTCAGATGATGCACGCAGTTTTTTCTTAGATTCCAAGAAAAATGTTCAGGCATTTCTTATCAAGCACATGGAAGAAGGGAGCGCTCGCATTGGAAAACAATAATCCCCTGTTTTCATATTGCTGGAGGAGTTTCCACTACGGGAAGGTATTATAGAGGGCAAATTTCCTGTTATTATCGATTAAGTATTACTGTTGCTGATCGTTAAGATGAAATCGGTGGTTTTATTGGGCACGCTGTCCTAAACCCCAAGCCCTTATCATGCTATGTATGGGGTGCTCTCCCAATTATGGCATGTTTGATGGGTCTCTTTTTGGTCTTCGAGTTTGAAAATATGCCTTTTCTAGTTGAAGCTCATATACTGTTGGCATTCCATGGTAATCTACGTATTAAGTGATGCGAAGATTACTATAATAAACTATCTATCCATCTATCGATCGAAATGAATAGCAGGGTCATAGTGAGTACAGAAAGTTTCCCTTTTTTTGTGGTAAATTTTTATTTTCAGTTACAGCATTTGGTCTTGGGATGATCTCAGTGGGCTTCTCAATTTGCTGAAAGTGGCTCTGGGCCTGAGAGATCAAGGTACCTGATTCACTGGGAGTCTCTAGATTTAATAGGAGGAGTTGGGTTGTCTGATTCGACCAATTTCTAGCAATCCCTTAAATTGTTCGAGAGGAGGATTATAATATCAAATGGGTCCTCCAATGAAGAGGAGGCAGCAACGAAACAGGAGAGCAATGGCTGTGCTTCTGAAGTGAGAAAGAGTCCGCGTCTGTACCAGTGGCGTGTGAAGATTGCTAACTTTAATGGAGCACTTTTTCGTAAACAGCTCCTTTGTTGGCTCTGGTACAGGAGGATGGATCTTGAAAAGATAGTAACAATGATTGGGCCTTTGTTGGTTTTAGATGGGTATCGCCGGATCTGAAGTAGATATCAAGAATAGAGCTGGGACTCTCTCTATGCAGTCTATCTCCCTAAATACGATTTTATATAAGTCTAATAGTGGGCATAAGTGTATCATCATCTCGAGCTAATCTTTATCTATTGACCAGTGGAAAAAAATATGCATGCTGCTAAGTTTTATTTTAAAAAAAAAGGCTTCTTGTGTCTCAAATCCAAGGGTTTATAGTGGGCATCCATGGATTACGGATGTGCATTAAAGATAGATGTATGATGGAGAAAGGCGTGGACACCGGTTCTTCACTTCCATGTTTTCCTGAGGGAGGAAGATGGCGTCAGGATTGGAGGCGGATTTTTTTTTTTATATAGGTACCCAAATTATGATCTTTGTATTGCTTTGAAAATAACTTTGTAATCGAAGTTTCTTTTTTTGTTGTTGTTGTATTTCTATGCTTTTCTGGTAGCATTTTTGTTCCAGATTCTTTGATCATGCCAAGTTCTTCAGTTCTTCAGTTCTTCAGACACTGTAGCTGGTCTAGTTACTACTTGTCGAACTAGAACATGCCTGATGAGAGAGTACAACAGCGTTCCTGATTATTGCACCAAAAAGCACAAGTTTTCCTAATTTTCTTGATATTTTTCCTCATGTAGGTCCTCTCGGCTCCTAGGAGTTTCTTCGGTGTGGAGGACTTCGTAGACGATGACAACAGCCGCCCGTACACGTACAAGAAGGAGAAGAAGTCAAAGAACCCTCAGAAGCATGTCTCCTTCAAGCAGCGGACGATAGCATACATGGAACCCTTCTCGCTTGATGTCTTCATCTCCAAGAGATTTGTCTCGGCCTCGATCACCCACCGGGTCACCAGCAAGCAGGTGGCAGTTGCCGGCACCAATTCCAAGGACATCAAGGCGGCCCTCAATTCCAGGTCAGACATACCCGCCTGCCTAGCCGTTGGCAGGATCTTGGCCGATCGGGCTCGCGAGGCCGACGTTTTCACCGCCACCTACACCCCCAGAGAGAGGGACAAGTTTGAAGGGAAGATCCGTGCAGTCGTCCAGTCGCTGATAGATAATGGGATCGATGTCAAAGTCTACCTCGATTGAAAGCCATCAAGCAACTCAAGATCTGATATCTGAATTGGGTCCTCTTAAGATGGTGGGGTATGGATCGATGGAGGGATCTTCCTGAGAATGTGGGTTTTTTTGTTGTTGTTGTTATCTCAATTCTTGCCATGCTTCCCACCCATCTCCAAGCTTTTACAGCCAGTCACTCAGGCTGTTCTTGAGGCGAAGGAGGTGTTCTTGCTCTGAAGGGACAATCCTCCTGAAAATGGTGAGGTATGGATTGATGGAGGCATCTTCTTCTCTTGCTTGGCTATGCTTCCCACCCATCTATCTCCAAGCTCTTAGAGCCAGAGCAGCTCATGCTGTTGTTCTTGAGGGGAAGGAGGTGTTCTTGCTCTCCTGTCTTTCTGTTGCTTGATGCTCCAAGAAGTCCCCTTCTTAATCTTATGGTCTTGTGATAGCTTCAGGCGTCTCATCCCCATAGAGAAGAGGATGTGCCCATCACGCTTCTGTCTGTGGGAGTCATCTCCACTTCAGGTGCTTCTTCCAAGATCTGATCTTTGGGCCTCGTCGGGCGGGCTCTTCTGAGCCCAGAAAACTAATTGGGCCCAGCTTAGACCTTCGCGGCGTCCGGCCCAAATGGGCCTTCGCTTCACTTCCAAGCATCGACCCGTTTATTTTATGAATAAAGCGAAGTTTCAGTACATCTGTTCTCCGTCATCAACGCGCATAGTCCAAGGCCTTGACTTTTTGCGTTGACCATGTCCTGGGGTGAGCGCGTGAAGAGAGGTAGAGGGGCAAGATGGTTTGAAATTACAGGGCCCCCGCAGGATAACAGGCAAGACAAGTTCGGTCTGGGCCAGCTCGGATCGGCAAAATGGTCTATTTGAAATTGCAGCAAATTCATGTGGGCCCCACAATAGGAACGGCCCATCTCAGTTCGACTGCTGCCGGTTCTGTCATCTCAATCGAGATGTTGGAGATGTCAACGGATCTCGGTATTGCCCGGGGATCTTCTTGTGGTTCTTTCGTGGCTCTGTCCTGCGCGAGGGTGAGAACTCCGATCACGTGCGCCGTCTCCGGTGAGCGGTCGTGACTCTTTGGTGGAAGAGCTTCTTCTGTTCGTCGCTGGGAGGGGGAAGAAGAGCGAGCTGTGTGAGGGGCGCTCTGATGGGGGGATGTTTTTCCGATGTGAGGGGCGGGAAGGAAGCCGTCGGGGGCCGGAGGCAGAATTCCCTCTTCAGCACTTCTTCGCCGGGGACGGCAGGGGCCAACGAGGCCGTCAATTTTTTCTTCAACGCTCGGGGACTCCGGGGATTGTACACAGAGATGGAGGTGCGTAGTTGGTGCTTGAATTGGGTTGTGACTCCGTTACTCTTCTCGCATTTTCTGTCCTTGACGGTCCTATGGCCTTGGGAACCATGCTGCTAGTAGTTCTGACTGGCGCCTCGACGTCATCTATAGGTATTTCTGGTTCGCTTGTATACAGAAAGGCTCTGCGTATGCCCAACTACATTGCTCACGCATTATGTTCTGCTGGAAAATTATCTGAACGACATGATTATTCTTGTGCATGGAAACTTTCAACAATCTTTTCGATGACTTAATTCGGTCAAATTTCATGTTTTTTTTATTAGGAGTTACCAATGGTTTATCAGTGATTCGTAAAACCAAACGATTTTCTCTCAATATTACCTCCATTTTAATCCTCACTTTGTGGGAAATGAAAGTTGATAACTATTATGCTGAAACTTTGTTGCCTCAAGCCATGGAATTTTCCAAAAGTTTTACGCTTTTTCACAAAACGCTTCCTCTGTCACACAAATGTAAAACCCCTTTACATTACAAGGCAGGATTCCTCATTAGTACTGAATCTTCTCTTGTTATAGTAGTAGGGGAATGACACAGTGTACGCTTCTATTATGGTGAATGCTATCCTTCATGAGCGTATAATTTAATTGTCAGAATAAAGTTGCAAGTCTCACATGGGAGTGAAGGGTTCCGACCAGACGACTTCATGAAATTACATGGTCCTCCATGTGAAGAAATTGTACGAGAAAAATGATGCGAAAAAACTCAATGAAACGTGTGTACTCTGAGAATGGTCTTGATTCAACACATTGCAATTCAGGATACGCATCATAGTTAGTGAGGCGGTTAAGGCGAGCGAGCCATTCAATTTCTCACCATTAATATCTTTTCTTGTGTATGACTGAATACAACTCGTATATTCATGTTTAACTTTGTTGAATGAAACTTCCATCATATTCCATTGTGTGGATGTTCAAATGGTTTGGCCTCCCGAAACAACTTTTTGCGTCAACAGAACTTTGAAAACAACGATAGGCATAGGCAATGATGGCGAATACCTTGAAATATGAAAATTGCGAACGACATTTAGAATCAAGGCTATGCCATTCCTTGGTTCTTTACTTTATTTCTCGTGTCGCTGAAGTATGTGCATTTTGAAATCACTATAAATAGATTCCGCATGAGAAATACTGCTTTATTTCACCTGTAGATTTGGAACAGGCTTTAAGAAGCTTCTTTTCTCGGTGTAAAAGATATATTGTCCCTGATATGGGGATCCTGGCAGATTTTATGCTAACAAGGAAATTTTGGATTTCTTGGTAATGCAGTTTGTGGATTACTGATGTTAGCCTTAGTTTTTTTAGTGGAAAATTGGCATCTCTTGTTATAGTTCTTTGCATATTCTTCTTGTCATGAATATTTTTTGCTCTCTTTGTTATGATACATTCCATGTAGGGTAGCTTGGTTTGCCTAAGCTATTTATTTTTCCTTCTTCTGTAAGTGTGTGGTGTTCCTTTGCCGGTTAAATGCATGAAATTATTATCCAACGAAAGTACCAGTCTTATCTTATTTTGAATGAAATATTTATTCTATTTTTAAATTTTCGTTAATTATCTGGACACTTTGATATTGTAATGCGTTCTCTTGCCAAAACATTCCTTTGGTACCCGAAGTTTACTTCATACTTTCTTATACTACCATCAGTCTAAAGGAATAGTTTTCATTTGTTGGATACTTAGAGTTATCTCCACTCTTCTATGATGGTCAACGAAGGGTGGCATGCAACTGTTTCTATATTGGTGGTGTTTGTGATAGTGTGTATGTTTTGGGGGGGTGGGGTGTGGCCTAGGACAGTGATGACACCTTTATGTTATCTTTCTTGCTATTTACTGGTTTACTTACATTGTTCTCAGCTATCTTTATCTGCTTCCAAGTTGCGCAATCGGGACCACCTTTCTAAGGTATATTTTCTCTCACTCTCATGGGGTGTTTTTTTTCTTATCATAAAAAAATAATATCTTGCAATTTGAGACAAAATAAGGATGTGATAAGGGGTGAGAAGTGTCCAATGACAGAGATGACAAGGTTTCAGAAGAGATGAGAAAAAAAAGTCACTATTGTTTTTGGTAAAACTAACTACGCTGTCCTAAAACACTTTGAGAATTTAAATTGAACAACACAACAAAAGTTAAACAAGTTGGGACTGGCCTGTCAGTTCAGATGATCAATGAGATTTCTGTTCAATTTTGTTGAATGTTTCCCTACTTGTGCAAGTATTCATGGGTGCACTTGTCTGGCTATCTGTTTTGGTAGATGTTTAGAACAATACTGTATCTTGGATATGCATCAGTGATCGATTGTGGGATGCTTATTCAAAGAGGATATTAAAATAACTGCTTGTTTTAATACAATAAATAATTAGGTCCAGGAGAGTTACATCGGGAAAGGTAGTGTAAAGAACACTCAATAGGGCATTGGAGTAGTCACAGTACGCAGTTATTCTATATGTATTCTACTCCTACAGAACGATTCAATTATACTTCAACGATTTTGAGAGTGTTTCATGTATGTTGCTTAGACGATTTTGAGAGTGTTTCATGTATGTTGCCCGCATCAAATCCTAGCTGCCTGATGGACAGGATGTCCGATTTATACTTTGATGCAGAACTTCGACGCTTTAACCAGTCAACAAAGCAAGTTTTTAAGAGACAGCATCTGGATAATGTCTCTATCGTAATCGTTTATAACTAAATGTTCCAAATTTTTTCATTCAAAGATATTCTAGAGTTATTCTATGCACAAAACTTGAGGTTAATATTTATGGTTGAACTTTATTCATTGATGATGTCTACGAATAAAAAAAGATACTCATCAATGTTTTGATGTCACAAAAGGGAACTGTGGTTTTTTCAGTGTTTAAGTCAAGAAGTCTGTCTCTTTGCTTATTTTGATGATTGTCAAGAGGCCATTGCTACAGTCACTTCGATATTTCTCACGTTGGATTATTTCTGGCCTGTTTGCATCTTTAGTAGTTCAAAATAACCGTATGGAATGACTCTAGAACTTATCATTTCTTCAAGAAGGCAGTCATTTCAGGTGAAATATGAGAAACTTAATTCCGTTAATTTTTAATTCTGGGAAATTTAATGTTTGAGAATAATCTAGGGTCATGTACATCTTGCAGAATCGATTATAGTTTATGTTCAATGTCTATGTCAATGAGCCAGTAAATGATCCTTGCCCCTATAAAACAGAAAAAAAAAACGGTAACGAGTCTTCTCATACACGTCTGGATCCGTGTTTAACAGAGAGCCTGAATCTTTGAGGAATCTCTGACATCTTCGATTTATGATTCAACCCACCCATAATGAGAATGATAATTTCAACTCCGTCATATTTTTACTGCTTGCAGATCTGCAGTTTTTGGTGCATATAATCTGATTGACTATTCTTATTTTCATCACATCTAGGCACCGATTTGCCATTGTATTGTAGTATGTGTATCACGTAATACATTTTACAGTATTCCTATCTACCGGTATATGTTGTTAATTTCTGCCCTTTCTCTTGTTAGAGTGACCCGCTTGCAGTCATATATTTAAAGAGAAAAGATGGAACACTTGAAGAACTTGGCCGTACTGAAGTGATAATGAACACATTGGACCCTCTTTGGATCACAAAGCTGAAAATCACCTACCAGTTTGAGATTGTTCAGCCACTGCTGTAAGATTTTCCTCCAAATCCCATTAATTTTTGTTATTTATCATCAGTTGGATGCGAAAGTGATTTGGTCGTTGTGTATTGTGCATAAGTGCCGTCCTTTGATTACACGAGTGCCCTCTGTTTTTACAGGTTCAGAATCTATGATGTTGATACCAGATACCATAACATACCTGTGAAGGTACCTAATGCTGATTCTTACTCATCTAACTGTTTAATAGATATAAATTCCTTCCTCACTGAATGTGTTTAAATCCAAAAATTATGCCTGATGTCAGGTATGCATTCTGTTTAAAAGGGTCACCCTTTTAAAGAGGCCTCAAGTATAGCCTCTTCCTCCATGATGGTTCCTTCCCTCCTTTTTCTCCCGTTTAAGTGCTACTTGCTTTATTTGAACCCAGGAAGATCATTTTAGAATATATAAAGCATTCGGACCTAAACTGGCTAACGGTAGCCTTGAATTCTAAATCCATGTCTCGAAATTCGAGACAAATACCTTCTGTCAGGTTTTATCTCCCGCAATGAAACTTCGTCCACAAGTTTGAACGTACTATTTTTGGGTGGGTTACACTCCCATACAACAACTTAATTGGTTGTGTTGCCATCTTTCGTGAAAATGGAGTATTAGATCTTCTCTCTGTTCCTCGAAATATATGTATACCTCTACAACACTAGATTTTGAATTACTATGGAAGTAAAACGTGCAATGTTCAATGTCCGCAAAGTTTGTTTATGCTGGTTGTTATGAATTGGTTTAATATGTCTTTCTATTGGCACGTATCTCTTGTATATTTTCTTCCTGTCTGACGCTTGTACTTCCATGTGTTTTGTTGATAAAAAGAACTCATGACCTCATCTATCTGAATTAAGTTATCACATTTTAAGACATTGCATTCTCATCATGCAATCGTAGTACTTTCTGTGGTGGCTGTCACTGCCCAACTTGTTTTGGTAACCCTATCCATACTACAGTGATGCCTTAATCATGACAGTGAAGAAAAAAGAACATACATACATGGTGGATGAAAAAGTTATCCGAACATGCCCTGATAAAGTGACAGAAAGTTTCTCACCACAACAAAATGAAGCTAAAGATAAGAGTTTCCCATTAAATGAAATTCTTGGTGGCATTGCTACCAACGCTAAATTTGCATGCTTTGTCACTTGAAACACCTTCACATAAGTATTTATTCGTAATTTAAAGATTTACCAATTCTTCATCTCTCTTACATATAGGTAAAACGTTCATTTTCGATCACAGACATTTTAAAATTTGAATGAAATCTATTGGGCCATGACCTGAGAAAGCCATGGAGGCATGGCCAATGCTTTGATGTGAAGAATCCCATGAGAATACTGCTCTCACCTCCCCTTTATTATGCATTTAAGATTTCGCACTTATCGGCATCATAGTCCCATTTCTATGAGATGGTACATAAATGAGGGTCCCATTTTCCCTATCTTTTTCTTCATTCATTCTAATGCACGTGTAGTTCATAATTTTCTAAAGTAATTGAACACTACGTCTCATGAATAATTGATCAAAGACTCAGGCATTAACAATCGTGGTTGATGTAAAATTTGGATTATAGGGATGTAATGAACTCATCATAGCTCACAAGTATAATGTCACGAATCTTGGCATGCATATGATGGAAGTCTCTTCATGAAACGAATGTTTACCAATATTTATCAATCCGTAAAAATTCCATCAGCACCAGATCAACACAAAGAAATATATACAACAAGAATAATATGAATCGGAAACAATCATTTAGGAGAACAACCAACCGCACACACTTGACTCCTCCACATTTGAATTTTAGTTGTTTGGAAGAAAATTTTGAGCTTTTCATTAACTTGAACCATTGAGGTAGTAATCCATAGCCTTGATGAGACAAAAAAACCCTAAGTTTGCACATTTTTCTTATGTCTAACCCATTTCTAAGTGGCCTATCACAATGAATTAAATGCTTGTATACTTTTGACCTGGTCAAGCCATAGTACACAATGTAGTGGGTTCAGCACTTCTTGTCATAAATACCATCAACCTCACATCAATGGGTCGGGAAAGATATGGCATGGCCTACCCCAGAACGCATTCCCTGCTGGCTGGGGGTGAGGCCTGGCCAACACCAAAGCTGTCCAAAGAAATAGAGGGCTTGGCTAATTGGTCACAACCCCAGCTGCACTGACACCTTTTTTGGCACCCAGCAGCCAGATAAGAGAATACAATATTAGTAGTTTAAAATGAGAATATACATGTTTATTGTGTGCAAAATTTCCGCTTAATAGCATATTCTTGCTATAAACCTGGAGCCGGTAAGTTAGCCTTCTTTCCCTATTAAATAGCTTCTCAGTGATTAGTTTCAATGGTTGGTCTTCAGCATGCGAATCATTTTCAGCTGCTTGTGGGTCTAATTCTCTAGCCAGAGATGAGTTACTGGGAGACCAAAATTAATGGCCAATATTTCCTCTGCGTCTCTGACCTCAGATGGTTTTAGCCAAGTTGATAGCAGCCTGACAATGGAGTTGGAAGAAATCATTAACTAGCACATTCTAAACTCTGGTAGAAAGGAAGAAAGGGGGGGAATAGAGGCTTATCTTCGGTTGTGCTGGCTTCCTCTCCCCATTGCCCATGCATCTACCAAAACCACCCCCGCCCCTTGTATGTTCAGAAGAGACCTGGGGGCTGATCACTGAAAAGGAAAGATGAAGGAAAAGAGAGGGCTGCGTGACTAAGAGAAAAGATTGAAGAAGGGCCGTGCCAATGGTATAAATGAGATGCCTCCCGCCCCTATCATATTTTCTGTGTGATGGAGCGTATCACTACATTTCCCCAATGAGATTAGAAAGTCTCTCTCTCTCTCTCTCACACACACACACACACACAGACCCCAATGAGAAAGATATTTCTCTTCCCACACCTCTCATCTATACGGATGATGATTCAATATTTATAACACCTCTCAGTAATGAAATTAGAGCGCACTATGCTGTATCTAAGGCGAACTACTATCACTCCAATCGGTGAGCATAGCTAATGGGCCCAATGGTCTAATGGATCGGACATCTTAGACCCAACTTTTATAGTTGTGCTAGTCTTATGGCCTCTACCAACTAAAGCACATTAACCTAGTGAATATGAATAATGGAGGTTGATGTTGATGTGTCACTGAGAGCTGCATCTACTACATCCTGGTGAATTTGTGTAGCCTGTCTTCTTGCATTCTTTTTTATTATGACCTTCGAAAATTTCTGAAATTTCCTTTTGCAGACATTGAAGCTCAATGAGCAGGACTATCTTGGAGAAGCATCTTGTACTCTGTCAGAGGTAAATGCTACAAACTATGAAATACAGAATGTGATTTTTCATTCGATAAATTACGAAGTAATTGGATCTTTTGTTTTATACGGTTGCACGGAATGATACATACCTTTTTTCTGGGGATAAAAAGTATGGTGACGTATGTTTTTGTGCAGGAAGAATAACGAATACAAAAAAATCAGAGCTAACTGCTAAACCACAAAATTGACATTCTTAAAAAACTTACTCATCTGTGCATTAAACCCGATTTTATGTATCGTACCCACGTCCAAAATTATTTTTAATTACATTTTATTTTTTAAAATGTGAGATCCATGCCTGATACTATCATTATAAATAAGGTTATGCGAAACAAGTTTATGATCATCTGATCTGAGATTGAGATCGGTACACCTGACTCACTTGGTTCCAGGAATAATCTTCATGGGGTTAAAAATGCTATGCTTATCATGATCGAATGTATCCTCGTAAATAAACTTAATGAAAACATTATGATTAAAATGTATTTAAAAATATTTAAAATTTGAAACTTTAAACCAACCAATGGTGCTTAAAGCCGGGCACTTTTGATCTGAATTGGCTGATTTGAATCGGGATGGACACAAAATAATACCCAATCCAATTTTATAACGATTTCCTTTGAAAGAACAGTTATCAAATCTGACCATATTTGCGGATTCACTAGTTGACTCGGCCTGAAATTGGGTAATTTATCTATAATTGACTAGTTTTTAGGAGTCAGAACTGTTGGAATTATACTGGAAACGGAAGAATATGAAAGTATGGCCGCTTGTTGACACAGGATAGAGAAAGGAGAGGATGGAAAAAAAGTTTGGGTGATAATAAGCATAAGCAAGGAGAAAAATCACTTGATATAATTGGCCTTGTAGTCAATTTATCTAAACAAGCAACGAATGGGAATGATGATGTGAGCCTTGCGTTTCTTCTGACATTAGTCAGGCTCGCCTCTACATGGCCCCAGATGACAATTTCCTCATTTTTGGGAAGTGTTTCAAAGGTGGTATCGATGTCTGGAGGCATTAGGGTACCTAATAGGAGGGATGGTAGGTACTGATGGCTGAAATCAGCATTGGCTTCTTTTTTCTTGCTAATCTTCCCTCTTCTACCGTCAGAAGTGATAAAACTAGAACTGGTCAGGGGTTACTGGTACGGGTGTTATCAGCTTGTTTCTAGCTGGTTTTGTTCTGTTTGTTTAGTTTTCAATTTTAAAAGGCCTGAAAGATCATCAGATCGAGGAGCACTAAACGACACTCTCTCAAACCTCTTCAAACGAATGGACTATCTCTAATCTGGCATTTTCTTCTTCATCTATCAAATGTGGAGCAAGACTAAATCGTTGTGAAGTGAGCTCTGACGTATAGAGACCCTGATGATAGTCAACTGAAGTGTGAGAAACCAGAGAAGGATTGCAAACTTCTGTTCCTTGATCATCTTGCAGTAACTTTATAGCTACTACTTTGTGCCGTTGGCCCCCTCATCATTTTAGATTGTATTTTAGCTACCGGTTGGTCTACTTCGTCTCAGAATTGCCTGGCTTTTTCTTCCATGATTACTTGACCAAAACATCTTTCATCAACTGTCAAATGGATCAAGATAAGTGTAAAGATGTGTGAACCACACATAAGGGGAACCACATTCACACAAGGTACGACAAACAGAAATATTTTTTTTTTTCGTACACCGTGTCCAGAATCATACGAATGATACGTGTACATATTTCTGTGGGCAGCCATCGACGTAATAGTTTTACTTGTCAGAAATACATGACAAAAGTACGAGATCTTATGCACAACCATGATTTTAATCCCCCAGACACGAACCACCTGCTGTTGGGACTTTATTTTCATGTTATGTTTTTGTAATTCATATTTAAGAAATGAGAAAATGTGTTGATTTGTATTATTTTTTATTTTTTATTTTTGTACCCACATTCTTAACGTGGATCATGAGCCGCAGTTTCATAATACTAGTCATATATAAATTATAGAATTCGGAAATCATATATAACCGTGGTAATCAAATCCTTGACTTATTTTTAGGAATATAGTCTCCAATTTACGTTTTATTAAGATCTCTACATCTTATTCTCTTTTTATATTTTATCATTGGTGCGGTTTATTGTTATTTTGGGTTCTAGAGCCATCAAGATGTGCGGTGCTTATTTTTCCCTCGTTTTTTCTTTGTTCCAATGCAGATAGTAACAAAAAAAAATCGGTCTTTAACTCTTAATCTTCAAGATCAGAGTAGCCCAGTTGGAAGAAAGGATCTTGGAAATATTACCATCGTTGCGGAAGAAACAGTTTCATCAAGATCAGTGGTTGAGATGGTACTACGTGGCTCCCATTTAAAAAACAAGGATGTTTTCTCTAAAAGCGTAAGGATGATGATCCTCTTTTTCTTCGTTTTTTTTTCTTCAATTTATGTGCTGCTTACTGACCTTTTGTCTATGAAGGATCCTTTCCTGAGGATATCCAGGGTAGTGGAAGGTGGAGGCGCCATTCCTATCTGCAAAACAGAAGTGATTGACAACAATTTGGATCCAGTTTGGAAGCCCATAAATCTCTCCATGCAAAAACTTCTAAGCAAGGTATTTTGGGCCGTATACAAATCAGAAACTTTTTTCAAGTTGATACTTCATACACATTTACAAGTTATATTTATTTCTACTTTTCTGGGGTTGTATGCAGGATAATCCGTTAGTTATAGAATGCTACGATTTCAATAGCAGTGGAAAACATGAACTTATTGGGTAGAAAATGATTCTCATCTTCCTCTCTGTCTCTTCTTTAAGGTTTCCATCTTCTGTTTTTCATGGAAATGCAGCCTACCATTTATCTTATTAAGTCATTTGACTCTCGACAGAAAGCTCGAGAAAACAGCAGCAGAACTGGAATTACTCTACAAGGAAAAAACTGGGGCAAATTTTTATGTACCATCATCAGCTGGGCACGACCGTAAAAAGGTCAAATTTGGAAATATGCCGAATCTTCACCCCTTATTCGTATTGCCATCACTTTCATTCATTTTTTTACCGTGCAGGTGCTGAAAAGTCAGCTATTTGTGGATAGGTTCATTGAGACGACCCAGTACACTTTCATTGATTATATTTCTAGTGGGTTTGAGCTAAACTTTATGGTCGCTGTGGATTTTACAGGTTCACACGTGATGCCTTGGACCACATGTATTTCTTGGCTATCCTTTTCTCAAATATCGCGATGTGATATTTAATTTCTCATCCTTCCCTTCAGCTTCTAATGGAGATGCTAGAATGCCAAGTTCATTGCATTATATTGATCCCACTGGTCGATTCAATGCATACCAGCAGGTGGAAGTTTCTTTGCATATAATATTTTTTTACAGCATTTTTGGGAAATAGGTGGCATAAATTTATTCTGTTTATAAATGGGGTTAAATGTTTCGACAGGCCATACATGAGGTTGGAGATGTTATACAGTTCTATGATGCGGATCGTCGCTTCCCAGCATGGGGTTTTGGTGGAAAGCCTGCCTATGGCCCAGTATCACATTGCTTCAACTTGAATGGAAGGACCGATGTGTATGAGGTGAGATGAAATTAATCTTGCTGTTTTTCTCAAACATCAAATTCGCAATGCTTTTTCTCATAGATATGCTATTTTGATGATCCCCACATACTTTAACCATTTAGACAGGCTTTGTGCCTATTTAGTGGCCTATTCATTTATTCAATTAACACTTATAATCAGCCCCTTTCTCCTGCATATTGTCAACCCTCCACTCCCAAGTGGTCGTTCCACTTCCCCTTGGAATCCCTAATCTTAGCACATATTTTTTATAAATTTTCTGGGCCAAGGTTGTTTTACCTTACTATAGTTTTTTTTTATATATATACTTAGGTGGAGGGAGTCAATGGCATCCTGTCTGCATACGCCAGTGCCCTGCACAACGTTTCACTTCTGGGCCTACTCTGTTTGGGCCTGTCATCAACATGGCAGCACAATCTGCAAGCTCGTCCCTATCATTTAATATAAATAAATACTTTGTCCTCCTCATAATTACTGTAAGGACATAAATATCTCGTTTCTGTTTGCAAATTATCTCTTTAAGGGCTCGCTCATCACCTTGTTGTTTGCAACTGAAAGGATGGAGTTATAACTGATCTTCAAGGCACCATAGACTCTCTTGTGAAGGCATCTGACCTACCCTTGTCGGTCATGATAGTTGGGGTTGGGGACGCAGACTTCAAGGAAATGGAGGTACAAGTCAACGCACCTCTTTTTTTGCTTTCCACTCTCATACTTGATTGGATATAATTTTTGACCAGGATTCAGAAGGATCAAGCTGTCTGACTAAATATCTCACGTTGACTCAGAAACCTGAAAAAAAGAAAGGAATCCCACCAGTTGGATTCCTACAGTGACTCATGCTGGGTTTTTAAGTATCCATCTTCAGGATCATCTTGAGACCACAACTTGGCTGATTAATTCCTTGATGCTCCATTAATTCCCTCTCTCTAATGGAATCTGAGCCTTTTTAAGTATTAGTTGCTAAATATGGTTTCAATAGTTTTATGGCATGTTGCTAATTACACCTGTTGAAGTCAATACTTTCAACAGGTCTCCACAGTATCCATCCCCCTGAGTTGATATGAGTAACCTCTTGCTGTGGGCAGTGAATGGCCATGTTTTAGATGATCATGCTGATGAATGATAGCTCATGGTTGAGCAGATACTGGATGCCGACAATGGAAAACGGCTGGAGAGCAGCTCAGGGCGCGTCGCCACTCGCGATATCGTGCAATTCGTCTCACTGCGAGACACTCACAGTGAGTCAATCTGCCTCCATAGTCCTAAATGATAGCTTGTAAGGTCGGCAGAAGCTAATTTTTTATATTTTTTATTACTAATAATAATAAAAATAAGTAAGAAACTGTTCTCATTTCTTCGATGTTGCTTTCCGCGCCTGGTAAAGGATCAAGATTCATTATTTGGCTTGAATTGGATAAAAAAGCAGCCTTTTCTAGTACAAGCGAGTTTGAAGATGGGAGGAAGACATGTGTGAAAGTCCTCTGACGAAGCTAGAATCGTGTTGCTGTTTACAGGAGGGCAGATTCCTGTTGTGCAGTCGCTGCTGGAAGAGCTCCCCGGACAATTCCTCACCTACATGCACAGCAGGGGCATAAAGCCTCTCTTCGTCCAAGAAGAAGCCCAGGCCCCCAACTTTGGAGGATGATGCGGTACCGTGCCTTGATCTCTCTCTCTCTTCTCTCTCTTTTTCTCTCTTCTCTCTCTCTCTCTCTCTCTCTCTCTCTCTCTTCTCTCTTTTTCTCTCTCTTCTCTCTCTTGTCTCTCTTCTCTCTCTGTCTCTGTCTCTCTCTCTCTCTTGTCTCTCTTGTCTCTCTTCTCTCTCTTTCTCTCTCTCTTGTCTCTGTTCTCTCTCTGTCTGTCTCTCTCTCTCTCTCTTGTCTCTCTTCTCTCTCTTTCTCTCTCTCTTGTCTCTGTTCTCTCTCTGTCTGTCTCTCTCTCTCTCTTGTCTCTCTTCTCTCTCTTTCTCTCTCTCTTGTCTCTGTTCTCTCTCTGTCTGTCTGTCTCTCTCTCTCTCTTGTCTCTCTTCTCTCTCTGTCTCTCTTCTCTCTCTGTCTCTGTTCTCTCTCTCTCTTGTCTCTCTTCTCTCTCTGTCTCTCTCTCTCTCTTGTCTCTCTTCTCTCTCTCTCTCTCTCTATTGTCTCTCTTGTCTCTCTTGTCTCTCTTCTCTCTCTGTCTGTGGGTCGATCTCATTTGAAGGGCATTTGAGAGCTCTGCCCACAAAGTGTACATGCTGACCTTGTGAATGGTTTCCTCCTCTGCCGTCCTAACTGGAATGTACGTGTACAATGAATTCTTCACCGTTCTATGAAAATGGTGTGGGCCATCGTTGACCTAGTGCAGTCTTTTTGGGGTCTAGAGTCGCACTAAGAGTGAGAGAGAGAGAGAGAGAGAGAGAGAGAGAGAGAGAGAGAGAGAGAGAAGAAGAAGAAGAAGAAGAAGATGACGACAATAATACAATATTAGAAAATGGACCATAGAAAATGTAATATATATGGGAACTTAGGTGGGTATGGGTTATTCGTGATCCCAACCTTACTACTTTTGTTATTATTGAATTTTTTTCAAAGAAGTCAACTTTAGCAATAATCTTAGTTAATGAATAAATGTCGATGAATATGTAATGTAATTCCATAAATAGTTGGTGTTTAAATTAATTAATAATGGCCTGGAATATATCAGAAGTTTGCTTTATAATTAAATAAATAATTAATATTTGATGTATTCATTATAGTTTCCTTCTATATTTAGTTAATTAATTAATTAACCAATCAACCCGTTGATACCCGCCACGCTTGATCCTCACCAAGTTTATGGAATTTGACGTCTGGGATGGGAATTTTCACGTAGGAATAGGCGTCCTTGTAGGAAAATGGCCTGTGGGGCCTCGACACGTGTCACAAAAATTCTTTGGCCATCCAGTGAGAACCTGGCAAATGGGGGATTGCCACGTAGGACGACGTCGTTTTGCCCTTTCGCGTCACGGTCCGTTGCCTCCATAACTGATACTGAGGCGGTCGATTTGATACAGGGTGCAAGTCTGTGTCCAGGAAAGGGAGGGGGAGAGGGAAGGGGAAGAACCAGGTGGGGGGAGGGTGGGCACAAGAATGGCAGCGGCTTCTTCGTCCCCTCCCTCCCTCTCTTCTTCTCCTGCTTCTTCCTCACCTTCTGCTTCTCCAGGTATTCATTACTTTTGCCCCTCTTTCCCCCCACCATCCCCTCAATTTAATGCGTTCCGGGGAATCGGAACGGCTGTCGCGACCGGTCCTCCTTCCTTTGGCTCCGTGGTTGTTCTCATCTGTTATCGGCTTCCTTTGGGTTGACTGGCAGGGTTCGTTGAGAGGAGGGAGTTTTTGAAGTCGGATGTTTCACCGTTGTATGCCTTCTACCATTTCTCGACGAGTGGAGTTGCTGTCGCGATGGCTACCGGCGTCACCCACCCGCTGGGTTGTCATTCCTAACCTTTTTTTTTACTTTGATTGAACGCTGTAGATCACAGTGAGAAAAACTGGAGGATTACCCATCATTTTTCCTTTTTCTTATAGGAGACAAACCTCTTTATTGATGTGATATCATCAATTGACTCTCCGTCGGGTTTTAGATCCTTTTCTTATCTTTTTATTTCCCGGTGCTCATGTGTAGGTTACCACATGTAGCACCATAACTGGGTGCCTTCTATGTTAAGTTGAGGAGTGTCTTCGAATTCAAGGCTCTTGTAGTGCAATTCTTCTCAGAAAATACATGAGAAATGTGTTATTGATTCAACCCAAATCGCGAGTGACGGGAATTAAATTTATCATTATATTGTGTCATGTGATTTATTCATATATCCTTGGGCAGCTTGATGATGGTTCCCATGGGACTGCTTTTTGGTCTAGAGAATTGCTTCCTTTTTTTAGACCAACATACCATTCAAATGTGGGAGTAAGTTTAATGCAAGGTTTAGGTAAACAAAACTAATGCTATCCTCTGCGTGTGCTTTGCTTGATCCACTTCTCATGTACAACTGTCCCATCAGAAAAATAGTAGACAATTATTGAAGAATATTGTGTGAGGAAATTGCATAATTACTCCACAAACAATCTCTCTTGCTCAAAAAAAATAAATTATGCTATTAAATGATGTTCACTTTGCCCTAGGTAAATTACTTTTAATGTATTCAAGTGTTGAAAATGACTTGAATCAAGAGAAAAAACAGTTCATATGTGCTTATGATTATGACTATGGACGAATAGTAACGTTCTCTGCATAATTTTGTGAGCCAGATAGATCATATCTTCCACAGCAAGATTTTATCAGTACCTTCCATCCCGTTTCTTTTGTTTTACGAGTCTGTATGGCTTTTCATGGACTTACTAATATGTTACCAACTAAACGGAAACGCAGATGTTGCCAAGGTCAGACTCCAGATGCAGCTTGTTGGTCGGAGAGGTCCTCTACATGGAATGGTATATCTTTATAAGTTATTTCTGTCTATGGATCTTGAGGGCCTTTGATTAACATATCTCATCTAACGTTTACTACTTGTTATCGTCATAATAATAGGGCAATATTTTCTCACAAATGGTCAAAATCGAAGGTCCTGGGGCTTTATACCTGGGCTTTGCCCCAGCACTGACAAGATCAGTTCTATATGGAGGTCTACGTTTGGGCTTGTATGAGCCTTGCAAGCATGTCTGCGACGTAATGCTTGATTCCACTAACATTTTGGTGAAGATAGCATCTGGAGCATTCTCTGGCGCCATTGCTACTGCATTGACTAATCCCGTGGAAGTGCTAAAGGTATATGAAGTTCTGGGGCTTGATAACTTTGACTCTGGGTAGATCCGAAGCAAGTATCTTCGTTCTACAGGTGAGAGTACAAATGAACTCAAACTCAAGGGGAGGACCCATCAACGAAGTGCGTAAAATAGTTAGGGAGGAGGGCTTGAGGGCGCTCTGGAAAGGAGTTGGTCCTGCAATGGCAAGAGCTGGCGCACTAACAGCATCACAGCTTGCTACATATGATGAATCGAAGCAGGTAGCATTCCATTTTATTTCTTCTTTAATTTCTTTCCTCCTCTCATAGAAACCCTGACATTGTTTCTAATTTGATATCACCATGTAGTGTATTATTTAGTTAATTTTCAGCCATTAAATTGGATTGATAGATCCATCTTGAACGACAGGCATTGCTCAGATGGACCAATCTTGAAGAAGGTTTTCATCTCCATCTCATGTATAGGATTTCCTTGCTTTATGTTGTTCAGGCATGCCCGCTGTAATGGCGTAGAACTAAAGGTCTGTCTTTTTTAACTGAGAATATGAAGCTCGAGTTGCATCGCTGGAACCATGGGGACCGTTGTTACTGCCCCTGTGGACATGATTAAGACCCGTCTCATGTTGCAACGAGAATCCCATGGCCCCAAGAGCTACAGGAACGGATTTCACTGTGCATATCAGGTACTTTTTTTATTTATATAGCTTCTGTCCTATATGATGGCATTGCATTATACAGACTACATTGGTTATGTTGCTCTATGCCTAACGATAGTTTATTATTTCCATTTATATACTAACACACACACACACACACACACACACACACACACACACACACACATATATGTATATATATATCAACATCATGGGGCAATAAATCACTTAATTTTCTGATGCCTGGTGTGGGTTGTTATTCTCATTAAATCCTCTGCATAAGGCGGTTGATATTGAACTTATTTTATAATTTTGATTAAAATATTATAATATGCAGTTATCAATCTATTAAGTTTCTCCTGAATTATCAAATTACACTTGTGAAGTGTATCATATGCTTACAGCTTAGTTTGGCATCCAGGTTCATCTCCGTCCAATTGTTTCAGGTTGAATAAGTTTTCACGCATTTGATCAGCCTGGCGATTGATTTTTTTAATTTTATAATCCCAGCCTCTGTAAGGGAAAGGGCATATTGCATTATCTGCCTTTAGATAATATCATTTATTATTTTCACAGAGTTTATTGGCATCAAATGGACAAGAAATCATCTGACCACAGAGCTAATGCTGACAGTGAGCCTGGCTGCGATTTGATCTTTCTAATTTAGTTTTTTTTTTTTCTGAGTAAAAAAACTTCGTGAAGAGTTAACTTATTTCTACATATTCATTCATCTGGCGAAATTGATGTGTTCTTGACCTCAAATATTTTCTTGGGTTTAGTTGATTTAAATGACTACTAATATCTTTTTCTTTGGTAAAAAAAGATTGCGATGAGTAACTTGCATGAGCATTGCCTTCATTAGTAAAATTTCCATGCATAAATATTATTCTATAAATCATTTTATTTAAATGCCTGCCTGTACTTTCTCTCTGGCCAAGAACATCTGCAATGAGTAGCTTGTTTCAGTGTGTTGATTTCTTTACCAGAATCAATTAATTTAAATGGCTTCAATTATCTTCTTCGCAGGTAAAACATACAGAAGGCTTTGGAGCCCTTTACAAAGGGTGAGCTCTATTTGTTGAAACCATGACTCACAGAAAGGCTTTCAATCTTCTGTTTCATGGCCGAACGAAATTTTCTGACATCATGGGTTGACTTTTTGGGCATCGCAAATTCGGAGATTGATCTCATCATGGTCTGTCATGTAGATGTATCCGTGAAATTCTCGATTATTATGCATGCTTGCTTGGTAATGTTCCTCCTTGGATCTTGCCGTCAAGAAAGTCAACTCTGACGGCGGGGCGTAGGTTGACATTTTATTTTATCCTCGAGCTTTTGGAGCGTTGACCCATTTCATCCCCCACTACCATTATGTGGCCCACATTCTTCTCCTTTGTTTTGACTAATACCGTGGGCCTCTTTATTGTCCCGCAGGGGATTTGCGACGTTCGCTCGGCTGGGCCCCCAGACCGTGATCACCTTCCTTGTCTGCGAGAAGCTGCGGGAGCTCTCCGGCATGAAGGCCATCTGACCCGAGAGAGAGAGAGAGAGAGTCGGGGAATGTCTGCCCACAACATCAGCTGTGAGGTCAAAGCCATAAGTGGAAGACTTATCTCCTGCTTCATTCATTCGCTACGAACAGCATTAAACAGTCAGTGGTGTTGATTCAATGTTTGCCAGCAGAGGGGGAGGAATTAGACTCTCTCTCTCTCTCTCTATCTCTCTATCTCTCTCTATTCAGTGGACGGCAGTGGCGGTTGTGATGCCGAGATGGATTAGACTCTGCTCATCAAACTTCGCGTGGGTCGGAGTTCCTCTTAGAATCAGAGGTAGATGGATAAGTGGATAGATACTTGAGAGGGAGAGAGAACTGAAAGCGTTGACCATAGATATCCTAACGTGGATGGCCTGCGTATGACGTGGGTTCCTTTTAAAAAAGGAAGATAAAGAACGTGGGGAAACTTCCATTCAGGGGGAGGGAGAGCGAGAGAGGGATATGGAGGGTTAATTAAGGAGCGCGTTGACCGCCGTTCTGCTGACGTGGGTACAAGCCTGCGACCTGGGACAACAGTCAGGTCGGGTGCGCGACACTGTTGGATAACGGGTGGACGTACTCTCTCTCTCTCTCTCCCCGTCCTCTTTCTTGACCTGTAAGATTACAACTGTGTCGCCAGCTGTAGAGATGTGGATCCGCACTTTGCGGGGCCCACCAATAACTGGCGTGCTGGGGGTCCACCAGTGGGGCCCACCTGCTCAAGAGCTTTTTAATACTCGGTCCGCTTCTGTTCCTCCGCAGGACCACAATAAACGGATCGAAAGCTCCCCCCTTTCTCCCTTTCAAGCATTGGAAACATGCCCGCCAGATTGAGAGCACGTTAACGGTTGCTCCAGGAGCACCGGAGGTAAGCGATCTCGCAGTAAATAACGAGGCTGCTGAGGGGCATTTCGGCTAATTATTTGACGGCGGAGGGTTTGCAGGAAATAATGATTTAATAGTAGAAGAAGGAGGGTTGGGGATTAATTAACCGGCGCCTCGGCGACGACGAGAAGAAAACAGAGCCGGTTTCGACGCTGGGGAAGAGAGAGAGAGAGAGAGGTGGGGAGCGGGGACGAGGAGGGTGATAGAGAGGGTCGGATAATGGCGGAAGGGGAGAGCGTCCAGACGTGGAGATCCGAGGAGGCTGGAGATGGAGATGGGGAAGCCGGCGGCGGAGAGAGCGTGAAGCTGTTTGTAGGGCAGGTGCCGAAGAGCATGACGGAGGTGCAGCTGCTCGACTTGTTCAAGGAGGTGGCGCTGGTGGACGAGGTCAACATCATCAAGGACAAGTTCACCAAGGCCTCCCGAGGTTCCATCTAGAACAGCCTCTCTATCTGTGCTTCTTCTCCCGACCCCTCTGCTGTTCTACTGTTTTTTTTGCTTTTGGGGAATGGCGCATGTACTACTCGTAGATCCGCACAGCTGCCGGTTTCACGCGCTGATTGCTGCTGGTTTTGTTTGTCACGGTTGGCACAGGATGCTGCTTCTTGATATGCCCCTCGAGGGAGGAGGCAGATAAGGCGGTCAATGCGTACCATAACCAAAGGACGCTCCCAGGGGTACGCCACCAGATCTCTTCGATTCTATTTTTTACTGCCTCTGTACCTTCGCTTTTGGACGGTTCAACACTTTTGCGGCCAACTTTGCCTCTTTTAGATCCGTACTTTTGTACTTTGTGCGTCACTCTTACTTTTACCCTTTTGACTTTTCTTTCTTTGGTTCAATGCTACCTACGATCTAGAGTCATACTTGTGGAAGATTTTCAAATTTCTGGTTTTGAAAAAATGAAAATTCTGTTTTGTTCATCTCTGGGGGAAACTCGTGGTGGGTGTAGTACTAAACAGATTCCTTTATTCATTATTGGTTTGCGCTTATAATTTTTTAACTAATTATATGGTGGTTGGAATTAATTTTTAGAAATATTTTTCTTGTGTAATGCTTTCATAATCAAGGGCTTAAAGGCCTTTTTCTCCGGCATATTGGGTAGAATGTGGTGTGGGAGAAGTTGGACGTGGTATTTCGAATAGAAATATGCTCCTTTTTCTCTCTATTGAAATGTTGTAAACAATGTTCATAGGATATCTTCGTTGAGCGAATTCTCGCCACTATCCATTGTAGCTCTATGTAGTCTCTTACACTTCTGGTAAAATAGTGGAATATATAGCAGGTTCGAATTATTCGTTATCATCTTTCAATTGCTGTGAAACTCTTTGCATAATCTTGCAGTGTTCGCATTCTCTATTGGATTTCTCTGTGGTTTCGATTTTTCATTTCAAACATATCTTCAAGTCCACAATGTACCAATAGTATCATTGGGACAGCTGAGACATATGGAACTTCAAACTGATGGGTGGTTTTGTTCCAGTTGCCAATGTTTTTTCTTAAATGAGTTACTAGTGGAGTATTTTTGGTCTGGTGAGGACAAGGTCCATTTGCCTTGGATATATTTCGGGAAGGATACAGCAGCTCTAACTGACCCTTAAAAGTTTTTGATTCTCATTTCTCTATGTGACGTGGCCGATACTGGTGGAGTATGCATGGGTATTAACAGGGAATCATTGTTTTTATGGTTATTTGGTATGGCTGTAAGGAGATTTGTGTGAGTTTATAAAGAAGGGTCTTTGAAGTATGCGTCTAATCGCAGATGTTATGTTGCTAGAAGATGCCTTGTGTTCATAAGATTTAGGTTTAGAGAGTTTGGATGTAGATCGCCAGATCTGGAAGAAGATGACATGCTCATGATCACAATGCTCGAACTTGACATAATGACAAATTTTTGGTGCATCATTATTACCCGGGGAAGTTTATTTTCGTAGAAGGTATTTTTTTTGTTTCAAAATTGATTCACTTAGCATTTGATGAGATAATTGTAATCAAATACTGTTTTCTAGGAAAAATTGAAGAATTAATTCTGTAATGTATAAAGGAATTTTTAACTATAACTACACATGTATATGTAAAAGCGTATTTTAAAGGTTCGTAAAATATTTTTTTCGGCATTACCATATTGTTTTTTACCTAATGTCGTAAAAGAGAGACGACTTTTTTAATAATTTTTTTATGTGTAGTGATTCTGTCGCAGAGTACAAGGAGTGGACCTATTATCAATAAAAAGGAGAATTTTATTAGACGAATGATTTACCATGATATGATTTGGAATGCCTGCTGTATCAATTGAATGTTAAGTGCTTTAGAAACCGAGGTCCATCAAAGACATATGTGTGAGGGACTTGATGGGATGATCAGCTAGATCGTAGAAACTTATTGGAGTCAGTCTTGTTGTGCTTAAAAAAGATTGGATAGGTTCAAACTTGTAATAAATATGCCAATGTAACTTTAATCTAGTCACTAGTTAGATGCAAATGACAAACTTGAGAACGATTTTTTAGTGTAATACGAAAATTCGTGGTATGTTTTCATTTTGCAATAAGTGAAAAATGTTGAAATGGTCTTATTTAAGAATTTATGCGATTTGTTGAGCATCTTGCTCTTGGCAATTTCTAGATCGGTGCCACTCATAATTTAAAGTTAAGATGCGAGTCTAGGTTCTTAAATTGAAAGATACCTTCTTAACGAACACACATATGGCATGTCATGGTGATGACATTTGCTGAAGGGTTGCCAGACCACTGCTATTATGAGTATATGCTCGGTGTTCTGACATCTTTAACATTCAGATCCATAAAGTGAGAAAAAAGCTTGTTAATGAACAGTTTAAAACAAATGTGTCATATAGTCATTAATGACTCTTAACTTTCTTCATCATTATTTGCAATGTGACAGGCGTATGATATTGTGTGGAAACCATTAGAACAAATAAACATTGGGTTACTGGAAAATCAACTCCTCCAGTGAAAGGAAATGCAGGATGTTATACTATCTAGTGCTAGGTCGAAACTATGGGTTTCATTAAGGAAATTTAAATTGTGGATTATCTTTGAGAATATTAATGAATAATATACGGGGAGTATGTTTGGGATAATGTCAGAGATTTCAAGGAAAGAGTAAGATCTTTACTCCTACTGACGAAAAAAAGTGATCTAGTTGTTCTGAAGAGATGGGTCTTTAAGGATTCCAATCATAGGTGTGAATTTTATACCATTTATTTGGAACTGGACTGAATAGTGCAATTCACATCTAAGGATTTCGCAGATCTTACATCTGGTAAACATCACATTGCAAAGTCGAATGCTCTGTTCTGAAGTGTTTGAAGCTGTTACCACAGGCAAGGGTAGGAGGTTCAGTGGAATATTCATCGTCCTGGGGCAGCTTTTAGCTTCTGACGACTATATTGCCCTCCTGAGAGATCATTATTACATCATCAGCCCTCCCTCTTGAGCGTGGCACCTCATGCCTAACATACGAAGTTATTAAACTGAGTCAAGAATACGAATGTGGCTCATAATCTTATCATTCTTTTCTCTGTTAAACCAATTTGCTTCTTTGGAAGGCTTTCTTCATGCTGCCCTTTCCTTAAAATTTAGTACAGTTTCATGATTTTTGATATTTGTTTACGTAAAATACCAGCAGTGATTGGTCATTTATACTTTTGAAATTTTACGACGAAAACTTGTATTCTGATCCTGGATAATCGCCCCCTTTCATGAATCAGCCAATTCCTAATGTCATGGAATTGACCATCAACAGTGCTTTGCTAGTGAATTGAAGGCTTGGACCTTTTCAAGGTGATGCCGTAAGACCCTGGTAGCTTAGCCATGGTTACCCTTCAGCAGCCCCTGCTATTGTTGCATCAACCAAATTGAACTCTTGGCTGGCTTGGGTACTGTTCTGATGAATCAATCAAAACTGCCCCTTGAACGTTCTGACATTAATGTGTACCCTTTCAACCTGTCGAATAGAAACCTGTAGTTTCTGATTCAGATCACCTGGACTACATTAGTGTATGACTGTATTTGTTTCAGGGTCACAATGAAATTCTTTACCTTTTGTGTGGAACTGATGACCTTTGTCTCCCTCTCTCTTTCCTGCATTACATATACTCGAATTTTGCATGCTCTAATTAAAAATTTTCTTCTGTATTTTATCTAGGCCTCTACTCCATTGCAAGTTAAATATGCAGATGGCGAATTGGAAAGACTAGGTGGGATTTTGGTGAATAAATTTGTCTTTTCACATTGAATTAGGATACTCATCTTAAGCTCGGACCCTAGCCTCTTTGTTCTGGTTTATAGTTTCTAATTTTCGAAACAGTTTTTATGTGTTACGTTCTCTCATAGTGTAATAATGACTTTTTGTTCTATGAAAATGTTATAACTCTCTTTGATTAGTTTATTTTCAGAACACAAGCTATTTATTGGTATGCTTCCCAAAAACGTTTCTGAGACTGAACTATCTGCATTGTTTTCCAAATATGGAAATATTAAGGATTTACAAATTCTAAGAGGTTCGCAACAGACAAGTAAAGGTATAGATTCTGTTCTTGAAGCTGCTTTAAAGTTCTAGAATTTGGTTGCTGAAATTTCGCTCTTTCAGTATTTAACTGACAATGATCTGTTGTTGTTACTCAAAATCTTTTGTTACTCTAGCAGGTTGTGCCTTTCTGAAGTATGAGACAAAAGAGCAAGCACTTGCAGCATTGGAAGCCATAAATGGGAAGCACAGAATGGAGGTGTGTCCTTGTGATTTTTACTCTTTATACCTTTTATGCTGGAAGGTTTACACCTCCCAAAGTATCTTTTAACCTGTCACGACGGTTGACTAAGGTATCATGTTGAACTAGCACATTTTAGCTCAATTTAGTTATCAATGCTTACGATTTAAATCTGCTGATAAAATTGAAATAATGATATCTCACTTCAGTTTGGAGCAGGAGAGTGTGCCCTACTTTCAAATAAAAGATAAAAAGTTGAAGAAATAATAACCTGGACACTGCTAGTTCCACATAAATCAGCCATTTCCGCATTGTGCTACAGACCTTGCCCTACCGAAGAGCAGGAGAAGAAACGCAAGGAGATAATGCAAGTCGAAATTAGTGTACTGGCCACAGGCAATGGGGAAACCAATTTGTTGAACATGGGAAACAAAAGTTAATCTGCTCATTACGTGAGTGGTTTTCACATTAGTTTCAGGAGTGGCTTCCTCATGGATCTCATAGATTCTTTGCCCTATTTATTGCTTATTAATTCAGTTAATACACCTACATCGACATTAATTAAGTCCATCCAAGGTTTTACGCTGAAACAATGGAACAGAAAGAATGATTCATGTCACTAGCGGAACATGTGCACAACATTTAAGCATTGGAAACTTATTGAAAGTGAAGTATGATGCTTGAGCATTTGTTTTGATATCTTAGTTTTACTCATGGTTCAAATATCAATCTTACTCTTTTTTGATGCAGAGAGCACTTTCAGATGCTCTCACGACTTGTATCCAAATTCTGCTTTTTCGGATCCTTCTATGTAGTTGTAAGTTCCTTTCATTCTTGGCCATTGAAATTTCTGGCCTAGGCCACACAGTATATGGATAGACCATGATGGGTGCTTACATTACCTTGCTTTTTTTTTTGTCAGCGGCACTTAATATATACTTCTGTTTATACGTTTCGTTGGTCATTTTTTTTTATTCATCTATATTTTCTGGAGGCTCTAGCAAAAATCATATAGATAGATGACATTAGTGTCGGTCAAGTTGTGATGTCTTTTGGGTCAGTGTTAGGTTTCTCTGAATCCTCTTTCCTAGATATATATCGTACGCCAATCCTTGTCACTTATTTGGTTGTTCGGATTGGAGAAAGTTATAAAAAGAAAGGAAAGTCAAAAGTTGATTTTGCCACTACAACAGTTGTTTTTCTTCTGAAACTCTATTCTTGTTTCTACTGTGCAGGGTTCCAGTGTGCCTTTGGTTGTTAAATGGGCAGATACAGAGAAGGAAAGGCAGGCCAGGAGAGCACATAAAGCTCAGTCGCAGAATTCCAATGCACCAAGTGTCATTGCCACACAGCAACCTTCATTGTTTGGAGCTTTACCAATGGGTTACATTCCTCCATTCAATGGTTATAGTTATCAGGTTAGTTTATGCTATTCATTTGGCAGGGTTTTGCATTAATTTATTCCTACGGATTCTTTATTATAAGAAAGATTTCCGGCTTTCCTTTTTCTTACTCGTCAAAGGTTAACGTTTTTGTACCAATTTCCCATTTTTTATTTCATTTTGAAACGGTTTCGTAATTTTGCCCTACCTTCTGCTAGAGGAACCAAACAATTCTGGATAAAGCAGCAGTGTTGTTCCCATGATATATTGGCTTTTCGATTGCCTTCAGTTGTGAAGGCATCTATTTTTATCACTGAATACTTTCTAACTTTTAATTTTTTTCTTTGTTATATATGCAGACATCTGGAACATATGGGATAATGCAGTATCCTCTGACGTCAATACAAAATCAACCAGGCTATACTAGTATGGTTTCGGCTGTTACTCAAGGAAACACCATCCGTGGTGTTAATTCTGCAGCTCCCCTGGGTGCATCGCCAAGAAATTTTCCTACGGTACAGTCTGCTGCGTATGTGGGTTCGCCATATCATGGTGTGCCAGGACTGCAATATCCGATGACATATCCGGGGATGATGAATCACCAGCCTTTGGTTCATCCGCACAGTCCCATGCAGCCTACGGTGTTGAGCAATGATTCTGGAGTACATTCAAGCGTCAGTGGAAGCACTGGGGTTCAGATTGAAGGTGAATAATGGTCAAACGTTTATATTCGAATTCACATCATTTCTGAGGAGAGTTCGGGTGACTGATTGTTTATTTTTCTAGGTCCTCCTGGTGCTAATTTGTTCATTTATCATATCCCCCAAGAATTTGGTGATCAGGATCTTTCAAATGCTTTTCAACCATTTGGCAGAGTCTTGAGCGCCAAAGTATTTGTTGACAAAGCAACTGGTGTTAGCAAGTGCTTTGGTAATCCCTTATCGATTGTTAATTTGATGATCATTTATATACATTTTTCTTATTCGCTTCAATCTCCAGGTTTTGTCAGTTATGACTCTCCCGCTGCAGCTCAAACTGCCATCAATATGATGAATGGATTTCAGTTGGAAGGGAAAAAATTGAAGGTACAGCTTAAGAGAGACAACAAACAGAGCAATCCTTACTGAAATGGAACGTCAAATGGAGTGCTCGTTCTGTCAAGTGCATTTCACATACGAGACAGCATCTTGGAACATAGTTCGGAAGATAATTGATGGCTGTACTCTTGACACGATCTCATCGTGTCTTAAATGTGGGAACTGGTAGATTCCTGACCAGATTCAAATATCTGAAACTATTTAGAGCTGATGTATTTTGCACCGTTATAAATTGTAACCTATGTATCATGGACATTCATTAGACAAGAGGTATTTAATTTATTTTTTGTTCTTTAAAATAAAGTTTGGTAAAGACATCCGAGTTTGGCTATGATCGTATTTTTTAGCCATTTAAATTCTTTAAAATGTTCTGATTTATTTTATTTTTGGTTTACTGACCCAAAGTCTTTCTTTCTTCAATTGCTGAATTTTAACAGTGTAACTGCTGAGAATCCTAGGTTTGTCTTTACAGTGGTTGGGTTGTTTTGGCTCATTGTGTACTCTTTAAGAGTTCTTTCGTCATCCCCTTCGTTTGAACCTTCCTTTCCCAACTTTCTTTTGCTGTTCCTGTGAAGTCATTGGAGTTGTTTAGTAGCACGGCTCAGACGTTCCTTCAAGCAATATCCTTAAGTGGGTATTTCAGAGTCCAGTCCTATGTGAAGTGCTTTGTTCGTCATATTGTTTGTCCAAGACATTTCAGTTTGCAGTGAATGTGCAGGTATTGTGTATGTGCCTGAAAATGTTTCTATCCTTACTTTCTTCGTTATATCAATCGTCCTTCAAAAGATTTTTTAGTTGCATAAACCGGGACACTTTTCTTTCTAAATGGGAAATAGATTGATTTCTGAGGTCCACAATACGAGAAAGGCTAACTTCTTTATTTCATTTATTGCTGCCTTAATATATATCCACACCAATCATTAAATATTCTGTAACGTTTTCAGGCATGGCTTGTATTCCGCTATCACATGGATACGCGAACTGTATTTTTGTGGTGACCCTTCAGGTAACTCATTTTTCGCTATTTTGTCTCTTAGGCTTCAGGGAATTATTTGTATGAAGCATGTCTCAGCTTTATTCTATCAGAATTCTGTAGAGGATGTTTAGTTGCCATTTTTCTTGTGGGTTAGAATGTTTAGTTGGTTGATTCTGAAACATTTTCTTCATTTACAAAGCCCTCTTGCTTCACAGTGGAAAGAAAAATCTGGGTTCTGTTCTTTGGTTTTGGTCAAGTGCGAATATTTTGCTTATTGAAGGATTATCGTCTGCCTGGCTGGATTATTTTTCCAGAATCAGTTTTGATCTGTTTATGTCTAGCACTGATACCTTCCCTTACAGTAACTATAGTTGAACACTGTGGGCAAGTTTCCTTATGTTCATATCTGCGGATATGCGAGATTGCTGGAGAATTTATTATCTAGTCTATAGAAAAGTGAGGTTTTTTGCCTATGGGTGGGCTCTTGTTGACTGACATATTTTATTGTATTAGAAAACATACGATCCTAGGGGTGGGTGCAATGCCTTCAAGGATCATTACGAGTCTAGGTCTTGAAATGCTGGTTTTTGGATACCCTGCTAAGTTCTTCAAATTTCTACTTAAATGTCAGAACTTGGGCGTCCCTGATATGTCTTTCGATGAGCAACATTGTGGCATGATATAGAAAATAAAATTGGCTTAGATATAGTTAATAACTAATCAGCTAATCTAGTGAATTGGATTCAACAATTTGAAACCGCCAAAACTATTTTTCTTTGTTTTTCTCTAACTCCTTGCCCTTTCTATCGCAAGGAAAGGACTTAAGCTTTGACAGTCAAAACAAATTAGTTGCAAGGACAGTCATTGGGTTTATATCGGATCTGTGAATATTTTATCCTAGGAGCAAACTGATTAGCAATATCTTTTAACATTGAAGGTGAACTCCTCGCAGTAGTAATTTTCATCGTCAACACTTCAAATATGGTCTGATATCTTAATGCTGAAAGAAGTAGGATTATCAAACAAACATTTAATTCCTGGGGCATACCTTGGAACGATTAAAAAATATTAGTAGGAAGGCACTTAAAATAGAACGCAGAGATAAATGCAAGCCTTTTAATAGATGGTTTAATGATTGATCTTTTCAATTTAACCGTCTCTTTATCCTCTTTGTAGGCATTTACAGATGAAGAGGCGACAAATAAGATTACTGGCAATGGTGGGAGTGGAGAAAAGGGATGGGGTAAAAACCTTTTTGAAGCCTTCGTAATAAAATGTCCTCAACAGGACTCTTGAATAATTTAAAGGGTCCGAACACTTTTTAAGTGTATTAACTCGTTCGGTTTATTTGATCATACTTGCTGTGGCCTGATCTAATTTTAATACTTGTTGCTGCTTCTTCTTTGCTATCCTTGGTTTCTTCCATCTTGATAATGGTCCAGATCACGTGGAGCTCTATGTAAGCTAAATTCTTTTTTTGGTTTATTTCGAGATCGTTACAGTGGAATTGGTGTAATGTTGAAAACATATTTGATTTATTTGGTAACTACCCAGTTCTGAACTGTTGAGAAAATTGGTGACTTGATCTTCATCATATGTCAAATCCCGACTAACTAGGGTTACGGGTAATGTTACACCGCTTATTTACCACATCGATTACCATTCTTATGTTTCATTTATACAGCGAGTAGTTTAAGTTTTTCATTAAATCAAATGTTGAACAATAGTCGGACCGTGGATATGTTGCACTCAAATAATGAGTAAAGATTGAAGAATTAGTATTTAGCTTCATGCTTTGAAATCCTTTCAATTTCTTGTTGATCATGTAGAGCTCTGCACGCTCTTATCCATTTTTGGAGGTTTCCGTAAATGTGGATCGTATGTCATCCAATTCCTGTCCGCTTTCCAGTTGAATCTTTTTAATAACTGTGAACAAGACTTATTTTTTTCTACTCATGAAGGATTAGTCGTTTTACAAAAAGGTGCAATACTTCCCAAGTTGATGAAATTTAAGGTTGTTTCAGAACCCTCTAAGTTATTTCTATTTCATAAATCCATAGCCGTGACATATTTTTGCCTTATAATTGTAAATTTAGGTGATCTAGATGGGATGCTTAGAGTAGAAAGTGGAGTGATGGTTAACTGGACTTAGGAAAAACTCCATCAGAGGAAAACAATGGCATGAAATGACCCACATTTCCATATGAGCACTCAAATTGTTCACATATCCTAGTGGGGACCTCTATATAAACTTCGTCCTCTAGTTCACCGAGTAAAAAATTATTTTAACATTGAACTGCCGCGTTTCTCAATTGTAATTAGCTGCTAATGACAGTAAGATTTTGAACAATATACATCTTCACAACTGAAGCAAACATCTCTAAGTAATCAATCTCATATGTTCTAGTATGGCAACCATTCTTGTCTTGTATCCCTTTATAGATCCATCTACTCAATACTTAACCATAAAGACCTATCTACACCCCAAAGATCTCTTTCCTAATGACAATCTTAATAACTCTCTTTATTCACAGCTTGCTTCCGTTCCGTATTAGACAAAGCCTCATATATTTTGATAGGTATATTAATGGTGTTTAAACTAACAAGGATGGGTCTATGAGACGGTGAAAAATGTTCAATAGACAGGAAGTGTGTAAGAGGATACAAAGATTGTTTTATACATTCTCTAGTCCCTCTCTTAATAGCAATGAGAAGATCCTGTTTATTATTGCTCATATGAGATTCGGTTCAGCCTGCAATGGATCTAGGTTGGATTCTTGGGGTTGCTTATTTTCAAGATTATCGGTATTCTTCCTTGAGAGCACCTTTCCTTTCAAGGCCAGGGTTAGAATTTTCTTAATGGTTTTCTAGAGTTTCAAATTCATGATTCGACTTGGACCTAGATACAGGTTCAAACAGAGGAACATTGAGGACATAGGAAGTTGCGGCAGAGAAAAATTCCCATCCTTAGCTTCAATGATTGAATTCTCCCCCTGAAGATAAGGAGCTATGAAGTAAGACTCTTGTTGATTGAAAGTGACATCCATAGAGATACACAATTTCTTTGATGGAGACATTACACTTATACTCTTTCTAAGTTGGAGAATAACACAGTGTGATAGTTTAACGCTCTTGGATATAATTTCCCCTTGTGTTGACCATTAACATGAACAGATGATGCACCTCCATGTATTCTAGGGACAAGATTATTTGTAGTGTGTAGATTTGGATATAATAATGACAGTATTTCCGTTCGACTGTTAAATCCTAAGACACCAGAGGGTAAACGATTTATGAGATGAGTGGCTGTAAGAACTAATCCCCAAAAGGATTCAGGCACATGTTTTGGAAGAGACAGGAATGGGTTATCTCTAGAAGACGACCATTTCTCTTTGTGCCATATTTTGCTGGTGTATCATCAAACGATGACTCGTGTAACTAACTCTTTTTTTTGAATGTATGGAGTTAGTGTTTGATTGAAATAGTCCCTAACATTATTTAACCTAATTTTTTTGATGTTGTCCTTGAATTGATTCTTGTATTGTCATTAGATTTTTGTTGGAACAAAATTTGGGAGAGCAATATTGTCATCAGATTTCTGTTTGAGCAGAAAAAGTAACACGAGTACAGTCATCAATAAATGACATAAACCATCTGGCCTCAGAAACATTAAGAATGGTAGGACCCAAGATCTCACTATGAGTCAGATTGAAATGAATATAACTTCTTTTATTACTAACTTGAAGAGATATACTTTTATGTTTAACGAGTTCACACATGTTGCAATGAAAATCTTCATACTTAAACCTTGAAATCAAGAAAGAAGCAGAATTCTAGTAACTCTTAAATGACAGATGTCTAAGTAGGTGATGGTGACGACAAACTCTCTTCTTAGTGGATAAATGAACTAAGCTCAAAGAAATAAGCTAATTTGTCCTTTACAATGTTTGACTACGTTGATGCTTCATGGTATTCTCTATCCCGTTTTCTAGCATGTTTAATCATCCTCCCCGAATCTTTGTCATAAAATACCCAATGACTGTGTTGAACAATCTAGAGATATGAAGAACGTTAAAGTCCGCAGAGGGTTTTAACATTTTCTTCACCTGCTACGATATTCAAAGGACCATCAGTTGCGGCTTTTTTCCTACTGCTTGAACAAGGAAATCATGTGGAAAAGACACTGAGTATGGCCAGCAGCTCTTGATTCTATTATCAAGGCGTTGGCAAAGTTTGTACTTGAGACATTTAATCTGTGAATTTGTGAATTTGAA